ATTTAGTGAATTAATTCTAGTTCTTTTACTGGAACTGATACAAAGAGAACCGGTTCGCGGGCTTTTTAAAGTAAGCATATGTTCAGCTCTCCTAGTGAATCAATGCTTCTTTCTAGTTTGCATGCCAAATCAAAGGAATATCTTAGCTATTTATTTATTACAGCGTATATGCTAGTCGCGCATACTCTCCCTGCTCCACAGCAATCTCACTTATTTCACACTGTTTATGGCGATTCGTTTGATGTCGCTTACCTAAGAGACGCCAGCAGCAGCAGCAGCATCGATTTGGCGGTCAAATTTGTTGGACATGAGACCACAGAGAAAAAATGGGGGCGTGGCATATATTGATGCAGACAGAGATAATGCAGAAGACAAGTAGTCAATGTAACTGTGATCCGATAATGAGCAATCAAATTAGCAATAATTTATTAATTTCAACTAAAGAGATAAAAATTATATTTAAGTGGTAAATGTTTGATAAGTTAAACTTATGAAATAAAAATTGAATTATGTAATTTATTATTAAAATGAAACTGAATAGTCTTAAAGTTAAATTTTGATTGAATGCCGAACTTAATTTTTTAAGCAAATTTTGTTTTAGTTGCTGCTGTTTTTTTGGACATAATGCTTAAGTTGTAATGAGCACACTTATTTGCTGCCCATGCTGAAGCAAAAAGTCGCCAAGCAAACATATTAGCTTAAAGCTTAATATATTAGGCCATAATATGAGCAGCTGGCATGATGTGGTCGCTGCTTGTTTGTTTGTTCGCTGTGCTGTGGATGCCCTTTGCAGAGGTTGTTATGGCTATGTAAGGGCATATGCAGCACAGAGTCTCTAAAGCTGGACTATAAAGTATTAAGTCTCGGTTTGATATAGCAGTGCAAGCATTAAAGCCTAGCGAGGCGAGCTCGACTCTCAATCTTAGGGCTACTAGCGGGTTACTTTAGACTAACTACAAATTAATTATATATATATATGTGTATTATTCTGTTTATCAAAAAATAAAATTTGATAAAAAACTCTAATAAATAAAGTTTTCATCAAAAATTAAATTTAGTTTTTAAAAAATTTTACCTAACTACTAATTTAACTACATATTCACAACATATAGTTCTACTACATGGCATATACACTTTGTTAATAACAAATACAACACATTACACATAGCTACTAGTCACATCAAGCATGGACTCTTCATACAATGCCTGTGCCAGGGCATACAAACTTCGGCTTGCCGCACGGCTTGACACACTTTTGCTTGCTTTATTTTTTCACGAAGCTTTTAAAATTAAGCAGCCCAGCCTGTGCAGCAAATACAAGCAGCCACCGCGAACCACCCACCACAACTACCCACCCGCAATAAAAACAAGGCTCTGTTCCGCCTGCTCTTATGGCATACTTAACGGACGTCAGATTAGCTGCGGCTGCGGCGCAACATGTTGCCGGACTCGCTCTCACACTCCCTCTGTCCCCTTCTGCGTGGGTGTATGCCTGTGTGTGTGTGTATTTTGGTTAGCTTCTATTTGCGCTGCGGTTATGCCTCAAAAAGGGTTTGAGCGCGTATTTAATGCCAAACAATTAGAAATGTTCCGCCATGGAACAAGTGTTTCTCTTGCTGTTGCTGTTCATAATTTTCTTTTTCCTTTTTGGGTTTTCGCCCGCTGTTTTTATCGGCATAGAAGTGTGATTTAAATTTACATTTTAAATGGAAATTTGCACACAAAGTGGGCAGGTGGCGAGGTGGGGAGTTGGGCAGGCGCCCCTCCGTTTCATTGTTGGCTGACTGCTCTTAATTGAAGCCAGTTGGTGTTGGGCTTGCGTTTACCTCGTGCTTGTCACCGTTGTCTTGGCGCTGTTTTTGCCCATTAATTTTACAGTACAAAAGCCTCGGTTAGCCAGGTAACCAAGCAAGCAGCGCAAGCGGCCAACCGGTTTTAAGAGAGCTCACACATCTAATACCAAGTTCAAGGTCAAGATCGCAGTCGCAGTCGCAGCAACCGCAGTGTGCATCACCAGCAGCGCTCAGAAACAGCATCACTAAGGTGTGACGATGGCGGCGTTGTCTTAAAAGATTTTTCAATCTTCGGCGAGGGCGGTGCCGTCTGAAGGGACGGCCAGGGCAAAGGCAAGGGGCAAGCGGCAGGGCGCAGCACGGGAGTTGTTTTGTCAGCAGTGCAATGCATGGCTGTTAATTAAATATATACTATATATATATTTGTATGTATGTGTCAGTGTGTGTGCTGTGGGTAAGTCAAACAGCTAACATATATACATATATTTTTTGCAATAGAATGCAATCAAGAGATTTTCCCACGAATTACGCCATTGCCATTGACTTTGAGACGTCAAGTGCCTCCGAGCAGCCCGAGAACTGGGCACGATTTTCACTTTGAAGCGCCAAAGAATGCGCTTGAACACTGTTTGAGTATGCATAGAACTTTGTTACATTTAGATAAGTTTAATTCCAGAATTAGCTACTATCGATCGCTCACTTTCAGTTGAGTAGAGCCAAAATTTCATTTACTTTTCTTAAATAAAAATTATTTATTTAGAATCTATGAAAATATGTTGCAAATTCCGTACATAAATAAATATTTAATTAATATATTTATTATTTAATATTACGAGTCGCATCGATTTGAATCTCATTTAAGAGTTCTGAGAACAAACCCATTTTCTACTTAAGCACAACACGCCTTAATTTTCAATTTGTTTCGTTAATTAACTGTAATTAAGGCAATTTTCTGCTTAAGTCAAGTCAATCTATGCTTAGGAATAGCTTTGGCTAATTAATTATTTATGATATTTCAATTCGTATGTATTCAATACAGATTTATAAGGCTTATTTTCAAAGGCAATTCGATGCCGTAGCGCCCTTAAGCCCAAGTCGCCCGCATTAAAAACATATTATAGGCTTAAATAGCAGTTCACAAATGTAAAAGAGTATTTGAATTTTAATGATATATATGGGCATATGTATAACTATATATATTTATATATAATATTAAATTTGTTATAAATATAAATATAAATATATAAGATATATTTTAAGTATATCAAGAACTGATAAGCTGTTTAGATTATAGAACAATTCAAATTTTTATAATTATTGATAAAAATATTTTAAAAACACTAGAGGTCTAGTGTCTAGAGGTCTAGCCGGAAGTACTCTGAACTCCGTGAGCCATAATTAAATTTATTCAGAGCTTTTAGTAATTTTTACATATTTTCAATATTTAAATATATAAAAATACTTTTCTAATAGATTCCAACTTCATGCGCTTAAGTATGCTTCAGGAAAATCAATTTACCAAATTTTAGTGACTCTAGAACAAAGTATGCGATATTAGTTAATTATCGATTAGTGAGTTATCGATTACATTAGCCAAAAATCTGATTGTAAAAGACAAACTTAATTTCAACTTTAAGATCGCCAACGCACAGACGAGCAGGGCTGGAGTCAGCCGTTGCTTTTGATCAGGAGCTTGTATACTTAATCAGATCAATCATGTCTTCTTTTACCTGGCATTTGCAGCTACACCATTCTTATACATTTATTTAAAAATGTAACAAACTATAATATTACAAAGTCGCATATACCCGATTGCAGCATAATTATAAATTTTAGTTTTTCAAACTCTGCCTTCAAATCTCTAATGCAGCACGCAGAAAAGTCTAAAAAGAAAAAGAAACAAAATTTAGAGAGCGGAAGAGTAAATGGCGTGTGTGGCGTAAAAACAGACGCAAAAAATATTCAGTCCGTACGGATATCCTGAATATCTGTCCATAGCTATGCTACTTGCCACTTTGCTCTGACAGTCATTTCCGTTTTGAGGGTTTTGCTCTGCGCTCGATGAACTTTTAGCCATTTTGTGCCTGTGTCTCTGTGTGTGTGTGTGTGTGTGTTGGTGTGTTTGTGGGACCTGTTGCACCGGCTGCGATTTATATCATCGTAAAAGCTGCCATTTGAATTTGGGAATTTAATTTTAATGCCGAGTGTGCTGGGTGGCATGGCGGATGCTTAATAAAAGGGCTCTGATAACTGAAATATTTTCGGCATAGAAACTGACGCAAAGCCGTGCAGTAAGCGGCACAGTATATGCGTATATGTATGTGTGAATGCCACAATGCTTAGCCACATCCACATCGTCAGCGATGGCATCGCACACGCGTCGCCCATTAGGCGAGCCTGTCATTTGCTCGTCTAACGGAAGTTGTCTGTGTTAATGGAATTACATGAATTTCAACTCTGAACCGCAGAGCAGGATGGCAAGCGACATTTCCCGTTGAAGTGTTGCCTGATGCTACGGCCCATAAACTTTGGTGGTGAAAGTTTTGTTTTTTTTCTTCCTTTTCTTTTTATCAGTACAACCGGAAATGGAAATAGCAAACGAACAAACAAACGCTCGCTATTCGCTGAGGTCTCAACATATTAAAGTCTTAAGCTTAATGCAAACTAAATGTTTTTCAGCTGCCAAGCTAAGGCAACGAAATCCTATGTGCATGAAATTGATTCACATTAGATACAAAAAGAATCGATTCTTTTTTGTTAGCTTGAAATGACTGATTTACTGTTTTCCTCAATCCCATTTCTTTAAATTGCAATTGGTAATGGAAGCTTGCATTTGAATAGGGTTTTCACCTCGCAACGATTTGGTGAAAGCACACGAGCGTGGTGAGTTACAGTGCAATGCAGACCATTATTTACTTTAGTGGCAACGCCAATTGTAAGTGGCAGCACTGCCCTTTAAGCATGCGTAGCGCTTAAAGCTACGCGGTTTTATTTAAATATAAACAGAGCTCAACTTTTTAAATAAAATAGAATTTGTAACTATTTAATAAACAAATGAGCAGCAAACGTTGAGGCCGAATGCCATTGCGTGCGAGCGAGACATAACAATTGCTCGACAATGTCCCAACAAGGAGTCAGAAAAGGATAGCCGCTGCCAGCATGATTTGCTTTCATTTTATTTATTCAGAGATTTTAAGGTTAAGCTTAAACATAATGAAGGCGTTAATTTAGTAGTTAATGCCAGCGCAGCTTGGCTTTTTATAAGCTGCCAGCATACTATCAACTACTTATGTATATATAAAACAAATAGAAACAGAAAGGAAATAAATGTGTAAGTAAAAAACGAGAATTGTTGTAAAAATCATGTTCTTCTAGCTGTAGTCTGTGCCAATATATTTATATTTTTGTCACGCTCATCGTTTTATCCTTTGAATTGCCAGCTAAAGTCCTACATGATACGGAGCAAATGGAATCCACGTTGATACCGTCATCTAATTCGATAATATCGAATGGCACCGTCTTTATGGTCATGGCCTATACACGCTGTGGACGGGATCCGGTTCGCACCACAATTACCGTTAATGAGCTAATTGGCAAGGGTACGTTCGGGCGTGTGTACAAGGCACATCTGGATAAATCGGAACATCTGGTGGCCCTCAAACAAGTCGATTTCGATCCCTATATGATGGAACGCGAGCCGGAAATAATGAATTACCTCGAAGGACACTGCAATATAGTGCGTCTGATCATGCACTGCTATGCCCAGATTGGATGCTCACAGCAGAACTATCTGTTCATGGCCATGGAGTATATGCCAATGACGCTCTCAGAATTCATAGTACAGCAACGCCAGCGGCCACTGCAAACGGTCTACGTGCGCATCATCTCCTATCAACTGTTCCGGGGCCTCGGTTATTTGCACTCGCACTGCATTTGCCATCGCGACATTAAGCCGGAGAATATGCTGCTCGATCCGCTCACAATGAATCTCAAATTGGGTGACTTTGGCAGCGCCAAGTTTCTGGAAGCCAACGAATCGAGCGCCACGTATGTCTGTTCCCGGCTCTATCGGGCGCCCGAGCTGTTTGCCAAATGCACGCGATATAGCACCATGGTGGATGTTTGGAGCGCCGGCTGCGTGCTCGCCGAGCTGCTCAAGAACGTCGCACTCTTCTCCAGCAACAAGCATGACCAGGCGCAGCTGCTGCACATGATCGGTCTGCTGGGCACCGACGGCTTGGACCGTGCGCCCATTGTCCTTGCCGCCAGCGGCTTGGAAGCCGCCACAACCAGCATCGCTCGACCCAGCTGGCAGACGTTAATTGGCACCTGGGTGCCACAGGATTTGGCGGCACTGCTGGATGAATGCCTGCAATATGAGCCAGCAGCACGCATTGCGCCACTGCGAGCCTGTGCCCATGCCAGCTACGACGAGCTGCGCACCATGGATGCCCTCAACACACTGATGCCCAATGGCGTTCGCCTACCATCGTTGTTCAACTTCAGCGAGCATGAGCTGCAAGTGGATCCCGGCCTATGGATGCATCTATTACCACTCCAGCTGGAGGAAGTCGTTGAGCAATAGCGAACCAAGTGCAACACTAGATTTTAAGTTGATATAGTTTATAGTCACCAAAGGCTGTATTAGTTTATATATAGTTTTTAATACTAAACATGAGGTGAGTATCTAAAAATAGCCTTAAGAGTCCTGCTTGAATGTGAGGTTAGGTTAATCAGGCACAAATCCCCTACTAGCCATGGTATTAAACTATTTATAAATAATATCAAGCCCAACTATTTTTCTGATCTATATTTGTGTAGACAATAGATAAGCGGAGGAACTAGGGCTCTGTACTTCATTAGGAAATAGAGTACAGACAACGTCTTCTTGACTTATCTATTTGACTCTAAGTTTCTAGTTTTAGCATATAAATATACGTTCTCTATTACTTGAGTATCAGTTCTAATAACTATAATTTTGATTTTAAGAATATATTTTCTTTAATTTTTTTTAATATAAAGGTAACACAATAATCCATATGGTTATATCTTTAGTCGGGATTATATATAAAAATATTATAAATATTATATATATAAAAATATTATATATTTTTAGCTATTTGTACACTTACTATCGGCTGCTGCGCAGTTTAACAGCGGGTGCTGTCCACGTTTGTCCGGTCTAACCCTTTAGCTTCAATTCTTAGCTTACTTTAAGGCCTTTCGTATTTCCAGGTATATTTCCTATAGGCATAGGCATTGCGGCCTATGTTATATACTTACTAGTGGCTGCTGCCCTTATTTAGTATTGGTTCCTTCATTTCTTTAAAACATTTCGAATCGACACTTCCAGCCATATTTCCTATATATCTACTTAGGCATTGTGGCCTAGCTTAGATGCTTAACAGCGGGTGCTGTCCGTGCTTGTTCGTTCCTTCAGTTCTTAGCTTTCTTCAAAACCTTCTGAATCAACATATTTCCTATAGATATATGCTCACACTTATTATACTATACTTATTAGTGGCAGCTGTCCGTGTTCGTCCGTTCTAACCCTTTACCTTTAGTTCTTAACTTTTTTCAAAGCCATTTTAATAAACATTTCCAGCTATATTTCCTATTTGCGGTTGCTGCCCGATTTTCTCCGGCCTAACTCTTTAGCTTAAGTTCTTCGCTTCCTTCAAAGCCCTTCGACTCCACATTCTCAGCTATATTTCTCATAGGCATTGTGGCCTAACTTTTGCTGTCATTTTGAGGCTAATTTTCTTTCATTTTTCTTTTTTAAGCTCTCGTCGCTCGCTTAACTTGGAGGTCTCTTAACAGAACTGGCTTTCGTCTTTTTTTTACTTACAGAACTCAGTTGATGCCAGTCCAGATTTACATCAGACACATATATATATATAGTTCTATATGAAATTTGTTGTTGATGTTGGCTAAATCCATGAATTTGACAGACTTTCCAATAGTACGCATGGGACTCGAGGAACCGCTTTGAATTTCGAGACCCAGTAGCCTTTGAGTAATAGAAAAAGTCGACCATCGGTTTGACGGTCTGAAAGTGGTTTAGTTCAGCCTGTTCTATCGTAGTGTGAACATCGCCCAAACTAAAAAAAAAAGTCCGAAGCTAAAAATCGAATTGTCGGAAAATCTTCAGAAAACTTAAGACGAAACTAAAATATGGAGCTTCCGTCGATGGTGGAGCGTTCCGGTGGCCGCTTGGTGGTGCGCAGTCTGGTGAGTGGTGCCACAGTCTATCAAACTGCAATGGAGGAGAGCGGCACAGCGGTCGCAGGTCGTGGCAATCCGATAGCCACGCATCCATTGGTCAGCGCCGAGATGCTCGAGCGACAGCTGCAGCTGCTCAACAATCGCACAACGACCGCTCAGCCGCTGCCACTGATACTGCCGCTGGCCATGACCAAGGCTGAGCCGGAGGACAACTGCAAGGATCAATCGATGCCAATGCTGGAGTCCCGAGCCGAGGAGGAGCTGCCGCAATGCAAGATCAGGCGCAACTACAGCTGCAACGCGTGCGCCTTCTTCACACAGAATCCGCGCAGCCATTTGTCGCATCTGCGCGACGTGCACGGCGAGAAGATCGTGATAAACGAGTGCAAGCTCTGCCTGTATGCCTCTCGGCATTTCCAAAAGCTGGTGCGTCATATGAAGATGGTGCATGGCTGCTCGGACGACGACAGCACGGGCATAGCTGGTCGACGGCATTGCAATCGGGAGGCGCGCAAACGTCGCCTGGAGGAGAGCATCGAGGCGCCCAGCGTGATGACGCCCAATCTTCATCAGAGTGCTGCAGTGCAGGCTGAAGTCGGCCAGGTGGGTGCAGTGCAGGCAGCGGGTGCCATGCAGGCGGGGCCCTCGCTAAAGCAGCTGAAGAGCGAGCTGCAGCTGCAGGAGCAACAGCTACTGAACAATGTGGAGGCCTTCAATCGCCAGCAGCAGCTGCAGCAGCTGCAGCAAATGGTCTCGCGCAGTGCCAACATCTTCTCCATGGCCTTTGAGTTTCAGATGTGCATGCTGCCGCCAGCATCTGCCATCTTGCCAGGTCGACCCATCGACGAGGCGGATCGTGAGCCGGGGAACAGCAGCTCGGACTCTGAGGAGTTGCCGCAGGCCGATGAATGCGCCACGCCAGAGGCGCTCGATCTGTCAGCCGGCGCCTCGGTCACCCAGTATCAATGCCAGAAATGTTCGTACAGCACGCCGATCCGTGCACGCTTCAAGAAGCACGTCAAGTATCACTCGATGCCGCTGATCAAGTGCGGCTCATGTGACTTTCATTCGCCCTACAAATGGAATCTGGACAGGCACACCAAGAACCATGGCGCCAATGGCTACTTCAAGTGCGGCGTTTGTGACTTCAGCACCAATATCAAACAGTCGCTGACCATACATGAGCTCAACCACCATGTGGCACGTCGTTCGGGATCACAGGAACATCTGCAGTTGCAGCAGCAGCAGCAGCAGCAGCATCATCATGTGACAGCAACTGGACTGGACTCGTCTGCTGATCAAGCCGAACCGCTAGACACTGAGCAGGGTTCCAGTCCCTTGGAGGCAGCTGACTCTGCATCGCCGTTGTCTGAGCTGCCGCCCATCAACTGCTCCCATTGCCAGCAGCGGGTGCCAAATGCCATGGAGCTGATCAGCCATTTGCAGCAGTGCGAGCCGGCGCTGCGCAGCACCACGCAGCTCACTTGCGACATGGATCTGGGTGGGGATGAGGATTATCGCAGCGCTAGCAATGATCTCAGCTATTGTGGTGTTGAAACAGCACCCGGGTATGGCGAGGTAGGTAATCAAGAGCAGCTCAGAAACGATTCAGTAGCAGCTTCTGCTTTTTGCCAGGTCACCGAGCAACTGCAGCCGGAGGACTCGGATGCACTGAAGAAGGTGTTCAAGTGTCCGCATTGCACATTTTGGGCAGCCACCGCATCACGCTTCCACGTGCACATTGTGGGCCATCTGAATCGCAAGCCATTCGAGTGCTCGCTGTGCTCCTATCGCTCCAACTGGCGCTGGGACATCACCAAGCACATCCGACTGAAGGCCATGCGCGACAAGTCGCACATCCAGGCACAGGTGCTGATGAACGATGAGACGGGCAGACGCAACTACGCCAAGTACAATCAGTATTTGACCCTCATGAAGGTCAGCGCCGAGCAGGCAGCCGATGCGAAGACCATGCGCTGCGGCGAAATGCAGCCCAGCAATCTGGAGCAGCAGCAACAGCTGCTCGCTGTGCCTCCGTTTGAGGAGGAAAATCTCGAAAATCAGGACTCGCACGCCGACTCCTTGGCTGCTCTCGACTTGCGTGTATCCAGCAAGCCGACTGCGGACCAACCATCTAGCCAGAACAATGAACGCAACTATCCAGCACAGAAACAAAAGCAGAGCAAGAAAAAACACAATGAGAATCAGTCTCAGCTATACAGAAAATCCAGTAATCATTCACAGAAAGGATCGCTGTCAGCTTGATCAAGACACTTATTTCTACACACTACTACATAACCATTGGCTATTCATTATTCATACAGGCTGGCATTGCAGTTGCTTATACAATAGTTATACAGTTTAGATATTTATTGCACTTTTTCATGTTTGAATAAACAGCGTTCAATAAAAGATTGCTTAGAATTATAATTTTATTATGGATTGCGTATAGTATTGCATGAGATCAATAAAGTCAACTAGGGATTAGAATTCTTCTACAATTTTACATTTACATTAAAATTTGATTTTAAAGTAAATTTATTTCTTAATATTTTTTGCTGTCGGGTATTTAGCTTTAGATGCGTTGAGTCAATAGTAAAACGGAGAATTTTTGGTTTTGGGAAATTAACGTAAAATTCTATGCTTTAGCTAAGCTAAATCTACTATTTGATTAGGGCTAGGGGCTCACTAGCTAATAACATTAGCCAAAATTTTGCATCACGCGCTCATCACAGCAAACATTCCTGTATAAAAAATAATACTATGCATAGTAAAACGATAAGCGGCACTAAAAAGCACAACTCGTCCACGCCAAGCGTGGACAGCAGATTCCAAAGATCGATGGCGAGATATCGAGCCTGTAACAGCCACGGATACGCCCATGCCCACAACTAAGCTGTCTGGCATTGAACACCCTCGAAATGTTGCGAGTCATCGTCATCATCAGTTTCGCCGCGACGTCTTTGTGGTTTATAGTCTGTCATTTCCGCCTCCTCTGCTCCATCCGGCATGGTGACATTTTCACGTGGCGGCAGTACACTCTCCAACGTGGTCAGCTGAGCTGCAGTGGCGAAACCATTCTCCGGAAAGTTCACCTTGAACTGCACATAGAGATCACCATGATCATTCGGTTTGCTAAACACCGGCATGCCAGATCCTTTCATCATTTTAATTTGATTGTGCCGCAGCACTTCGCCCGGCTTCGTGCGCATGCACATGTTCTGCCCATTCAAATGCTTGAAGCAATGCGTATAGCCGCACAGAGCCTCCGTTAGATTAATCTCTAGATCTCCCATGTACAGATTTGCATGGCGACGCCTAAAGACCGAATGATCAGCCTGTACGATGACCACATAGAGGTCTCCGAATTCTCCGTTGCGCAACTGATGCCCCTCTTGGACAAAGGGCAGCTTCAGCATGTTTGGCACGCCGCGTTCAATCATCACATCGCGTTTCATTTGCTCTTCCACAAATCCGGAGCCAGAGCACGTCTTACACTGCATTGATTTCTTGATGATGAACCCTCGACCGTCGCACGTGGCGCAAGACTAACAAACAATGGACAATAAGATTACAAGCACTGAGCTTCTTACTTAGCACTTACCACGTCGAAGGCATTCATACCCATGAATGCAAAGGCAGGGATGTGGCCGCCTCCATTGCAAGCCTCACAGTTTTCGCGGCCCTCTTGCGGGCCGCCATCTCCCCTGCAGTTATCACATAGCTTCTGTCGCATGTATTCCACCGTTTTTTTACTATCACCCATGTATATCTCTTCCAGGGTCAGCTCTAATTTGATCATTACCCTGCCGTCGGGTCTCCCGCCAAACCATTGTGAAAAAAATGTTGATGACTCCGCGCCGCCTTCTGCGCCTTCCTGCAGACCTCTTATTCCATAGCGATCGTAAATACGACGTTTCGCCGGATCGGAAAGTATTTCATAGGCAAATGATATTTCCTTAAACTTATCCCCCGCCTTTGGGTTCTTGTCCGGATGGAATTCTTTGGCCAATTTGCGATAATTCTATGTTGGGCACGGGGTTGATTAAGTATCAATAAATTGAATGGTACAAAAACACCAAGAACCTTTTTAATATCATCCGCGGTCGCATTCTGTGCCACTCCAAGAACACTGTACAAATTCAGGTTGTCCATTGCGATTACGCGCTAGCCCCTATATTAAAAGAAAATGCCCGTGCATGGTAGTCGTAGAAAATTTTGATAATTTATTGTAATTGTGACACACGGATTTGTTCTTCAAATTGTTATGATATTCATTATTTTGTTGTGTTGTTTCAATTTTCAAATTCGCCTTAGTCTAAACAGCTGTGTTAACAGCTGCATAGCTCGTAAGCAATACGCGTAAACTTACCAAAGTCCTAAGTAATATCAGCCTATTTACTTGTTTATAAATTTTTCAATTGTCCCATTTAATTAATCATTTTGTATTTTTTTAGTATAAATCCTTGACGTTCAAAGAATGCAATAGAATGTAATAAATGCATTGTTAAGGGGTAACAGTAGCGATAGCTAAGCATATTAAGTGTTGTAAAATGCGAAATTCTACTACGATATACAAAAAATGGTCAATCTAAAAGTAAAAAAGTTTTGCAAAAATTTCTCAAATGCTCTCTCCTAATAGAAACTATAAGAGCACCTTTCATTTTCCAAATCAATGATTATTACGTTTTTTCGCTGTGCTTTTACATATATTTTTTGTGCGAATACCTATTTCTTGCAGTGTGACCGTTTGCTGTCTGCTAAAAAAGCACCAACATGAGTCATCAATGCGCGTCTCCGTAGATAACACGTTGGGCGTGGTGAAATTTAATTATTTATTCCAACGTTTGCTTTGGGCACACTGGGTGGTTTGTACGTCACATCATCGGAAAATTTTCCAGAAATTACGTACAAATTTTACGAAAAAAATTAAAGAAAAATTGTTTTTAAAATTTTTTAAATTTTTCTTTTAAGTTAAAAAGCGGAAATAAAAGTGTTTGAATTAAAAAAGTGCGCTTTTTCGCCGTAAAACATCATTTTTACGCAAGCAAAATGGATGCAAAGTAGAGACGTAAAAATTTTGTGTGTGTACCAACGAAAGAGAGGAGAAAACGGAACGCGAGAAAGTGAAGAGAAGAAATCGTAACTACTCGCTGGTGGTGTGAGTGAGTGTGTGGTAAGAAGCAGACAAAGCATAACAGACGAAAACTGTGTTGCGCCTGGCAAAAATGATGGAAAATTACGAGGACATGGATGTTCGACTAGGACATATTAGTTACAAAGAGATTGGGGATGTACACGAACTAAAAGTACCAAACGAGCTCAACGAACTAAAAAGTTTTGAGCACACGCAGGCAAATTTTGATTTTGGCGCTGAAATTGTGACAACAAACGTTAAACCATCAACAGCAGCAACAACATCAGCAGCAATAGCAACAGCTACGACGCCAGCAACAAGCGAAACGCAACCAAAAGAAAATAGTGAAATCAAAACAAAAACATTGCCTCAAATGGGAGAACATCAAATTGGCGCCAATCGAAATGCCAAAAATCTAACAAATAATTTGGAGCAAACTGACCAGCACATAAATATTTTGGAAAGATCATTCTCCGAGGCCGATGATGATGAAGGAGATGAGGATGAAAACGAAGATTACAAATCAAGGTATAAATATTTCATCTAAATGGTGCCTAAATATATTAACATCACTAATAAAATGCATAAATATATATAACAAACTAATTCTTTACAAATTTAACTTTTTTCAACTTAGGTGAATAACTTTTTTTTGTATAATTTTGAATGAAAATTTAAAATAAAAATTAAATTATTTGATTTAAATTAAAAATATCTTTTATTTTTTTTTTCACCAAATTGGCAAATATTTTTGAAAATGTAAAAAATAAACAAATTTCAATACAATAATAATTTATAATTTTAAAGCTGGGCCAACAGCGACGACGATGATGATGATGACTCCTCCAGCTCGGACTGCTCTTCAGTTAGCCGCAGCGACTGGAAGATGCGTTGGCTACAGCGCGAATTTTACACTGGTCGCGTGCCCCGCCAGGTTATTGCCAGCATAATGCCGCACTTTGCCACTGGATTGGCAGCAGACACAGATGACTCGGTGCTGTGGGACTATCTGTCACATCTGCTAAATGAGCCAAAACGTCGCACCAAGCTGAGCAACGTGAACACCTTTGATGATGTTATTGATCTTGTGCACAAGTCGGAGCGGATTATTGTGCTCACTGGAGCCGGTGTCTCTGTTTCGTGCGGCATACCAGATTTTCGATCTACAAATGGTATCTATGCACGATTGGCTCATGATTTTCCCGACTTGCCTGATCCACAGGCCATGTTTGACATCAACTACTTCAAGCGCGATCCGCGACCCTTTTATAAATTCGCTCGTGAGATTTATCCCGGCGAATTCAAACCCTCGCCGTGTCATCGCTTCATTAAGATGCTAGAGGCGAAGGGCAAATTGCTGCGCAACTATACACAGAACATTGACACCTTGGAGCGTGTAGCAGGCATACAGCGGGTGATTGAATGTCATGGCTCATTTTCGACAGCCTCGTGCACCAAATGCAAATACAAATGCAATGCGGATGCACTGCGTGCAGATATATTTGCCCAGCGAATACCCGTCTGCCCTCAATGCCAGCCGAATGTGGAGCACAGTGTTGATGCTTCCGTAGCTGTTACAGAGGAGCAGCTAAAGCAATTGGTAGAGAATGGCATCATGAAACCGGATATAGTCTTCTTTGGCGAAGGTACGTAGTCATTAGTTTGTCACTATAATATAAACTGAAATTCTTTAAAAAAAAATAACGAAAATTTTTTAATCCATTCGTTGAATGAAGGATATACTGAAGTGCTGCCAACTTCACTCTGTAAGAAAAAGACAACAGAAGCACTTTTATTCAAAATGTTCAGCGTTAGCCAACACTACACAAAAACTAAGCTCATCCTTTGAAAGTTTTTACGTATTGGCATTACCTTCTCATTTTATTTATGTTTGATTCTATATTTACTATATGCATAATTGTTATACGGAACTATTTTGCTCGATTATAGGATTACCGGATGAGTACCATACAGTTATGGCCACAGACAAGGACAAATGCGATTTGCTGATTGTGATCGGCTCGTCGCTAAAGGTACGCCCCGTCGCACACATTCCCAGCAGTATACCAGCATCGGTACCGCAAATTCTGATCAATCGCGAGCAACTGCATCATCTAAAATTCGATGTAGAACTTTTGGGTGACTCAGATGTTATAATCAATCAGATATGTCAACGTCTTTCGGGCAATGGCTCCGGCTATGATGACGATGAATGGAAACAGCTTTGCTGTGACGACCAAGTTTTGCGTGAATCGAAGGAACTATTACCGCCGACAGAGCATCATTATCATCATTATCATTATCACCATCATCGGCTTCGTAGCTCAGAGTGTGAGCAACAATCGCAATTAGACACGGACACGCAATCCCTAAAGTCAAATGGCTCGGTTGACTATATGCTCGGTTCATCGGCAGGCACATGCTCCGATAGCGGCTTCGAGTCTTCCACATTTACAGCGGAGCACAGCAAGCGAAACCAGTTGCAGCCTCAGATGCTGCAGCAACCACAAGCTGTCAACAGCAACAGCCACAGCAATGCAGCCGATCGAGAAGCCATTGAACGCATTAAGAGTGACATACTCGTAGAATTGAATGAAACGGCATTAAGTTGTGATCGTCTTGCAGCACCATCAGTAGCTGGTGCCACTTCCAGCTATCGTCATCTTTCCGTTGACTCGTCAAAGGATAGTGGCATTGAGCAATGCGAAGCATCCGATCCCAGCAATACAGAAGCATCCGCAAATCCCGGCTATGCCAGCAATTTGGATTCAAACATTTCTGCGAATGTGGTTGTGGAAACTAAGACAGCAGCGCCCAGCTTAACGCCGACGCCGCCACAGCCGAGGAGACAAACCATAGCCGAACGCCTGCAGCCTGGCACATTCTATTGCAACAGCAATAGCTGCTCGTATGTATTTCCTGGCGCTCAAGTCTTCTGGAATAGTGACTTTAGCGATGACGAAGAGGAGGACGATGGAGCAAGTGTGCACGATGCAGATCTCTTTAGCAACGTTGTGGCCAGCGATGAGGAAGCATGCGATTTAAATGCAGTGCCCCTGTCACCACTACTACCGCCTGCACTGGAGGCTCACATTGTCACCGAAATCACCAATGGCAATGCTCTTGAAGTTATGCCAGCTGTTGCCACCTCAAGCAGCAGTCCCAGCAATAAACGGCGAAGTGCAACATCCATCGAGCAACTGCAATCGCCAACGCCATTGCCAACGTCAACAGCCAGTCCAGCGATTGAATCTGAAACGCCACCAATTAAGAAGCGAAGACCCAGTGTAGTTGCTGCAACAGCTACGACTGCAGCTACATTAACAACTGTGTAAATGTTTATATATATTTAGATGCCGGCTAAGTTAAGTTTATTATTTATTTCCACTGCGACTTTTGAAAGTCAATTCAATTTCGACTCAAAAGCCCGAACACTATTCAATGTCTAGAGAAGCTCAACACAAAACAGTAATTGAGGCTTTTGTAATATGTCTATTTGTCTTCTTCAAATACAACCAACTGAGAGACCCGGGTTTCATAGTTGGTTTTACGCATCCCTTTTTTGATATTTTTGGAAACTTAGTTTATATATTTATTCATTATGCAGATATATATCTATATATATGTAAAATGTTAGTATTTTTATCATGTTAAGTTGTTGCTGAGGCCTTTAAGTTAATCCACTGAAAGCAAGGGGATAAAATGCACGCAAATTTTCTAATTTGCAATTTGTTAGCGCATGTTGCCTCAATATATTCAAATTAGGCTAAGTTCAAAAGTAAATAAGATAAAAAAATGTTTTTCTAGCATTTAAGAACTGGACAAAAAAAAAACAAAAGCTCTGTATATAGGTATCTTTGTAAATGTAATTTTTCTATTTCATATGATTAAAAATATTCTGTTTCCTTACTTTTAACTCTCGGTTATGGCAGTTTTAAATATATATATATATACATATAAATATATTTGCATTCACATTTACACTTCACACACACATGAACACATGAACACATGAATTAGCTTGCAGTTTAGTGCGAGTTAGAATAAATGTTTAATCAAAAATTTAGCATAATTTTCAAATATATACATATGCATATATATATATAAATATATATGTTATAGCCACCAAACGTATGTGTAAATGATTCATTAAGCACTAGTTGTAATATACCAATATATAATGTATTAATATCCAAAAACAAAAAAAGTAATAAACCAATTTATTCAAAGTTGTTGAGCAGCTACAAGAGCCTCTAATTCATTGAATTTAATTGGCGGTAATCGGGAATATCTAAATATATATATTTTCATTCTGGACTATAAACTTACATACGACGTAGACCCAAAGTAGTTCTACGCATGCTCAAGCAATGGCAAGAGACGTAGATTCATTTTATACAAAGAGATTTAATCCGATTTCTGAATTTGTTGCTGAAATCTATCTTCTCAGTATCATAAGAGTTGGATCAACTTTATTCTTTCAAATGCCAAATTTCTTTAAGTTAATCATTTGATACAACTGAATAGCATACCATATTTATAGTAGTTTGTTATACTTACAATTCTCTTTTCTTAATATATCTTGACAGAAGGTGATCAGTCCCAATGCAATAATTACAAGTAAATCGTTTACACTTTGCAATTTTGAATTCGTTTTTATTAATTACCTTTTTTTTTAGACATTAGCTGATATCTTAAGCATATCTAAATACATAGTATTCTAATTTAATGTTACCTTCTGCAGAAGTACTCATTTATGGTACACGCTTAATTCATTTCATGCAATATGCTGGCTACCATGAGGAAAAAAATATATTAAACATTGCGGCGAGCGCTGCAACTTGTTTTATCATTTTCTGTTTTTGGGTCTCATTGCTTACGGACTAGGAGCAACTAGCTCTGCTCTTAACTGGATGCATGTGCTCACGAGATGCTGCCTGATATTTGTGTCTTGCTTTATTTTGATACTATGTGTAGGCTAAGTAGTGTATATAGTTGCTTGGTGTCGGATTTGTGGGTTTGTAATGCTAGAACGAAACAAAAGTTCTATTTACACCCTAGTAAACCTAACCGGTATGTGTAAACAATTTAATATATACCCATATATATTTATATATAGTTTTGTATGTAGGTGTATGTGTGTGTATGTGTATATACATATGTTTTTATATGTGTTGTACCTTAAGCTTTCGATTTGTTGCTACAATTATAAAAATATGCGCGTATGATAAAAAATGAATTTCCCCAATTCACTTCGCTATATAGAAACTCTGACTGATAACATGAGCGTACATTAGAGACAATTACGGGGATGCGTATGTCTTTATATATATATTTATACATATATATATATATCTATATCTAGAGTAGATATAAAATAACGCGCTCTGAGACTTGAGTTAGTTATATAATCTGTATACGGATATATAAATCCGTTATAGGCAACGTATGTGTTTCGATTTCTAACAAAATACTTCAATTTTATATATATATATATATATATGTATATATATATTAGGATATACAATATATTATTATATATATATCTATATATAATGTGCGCACGTGTAGATGCGTGCGTTTTATCGGTGATAACATTCGTTTCAAAAAATGAAATATAACTACGCTTGGCTTTGTTAAACACGGTTTGGGTTTAATTTCCGGCATTGAGATAATGTCCTGGTTGATGCCGCACTATAAGAACTGTGATTTGTTCGTCTTGTGCGATCTGGACTTGCTGGGATTGAGCTTGCACTTGAGTTGCGCAATGAGGTCAGAGATTTTGAGCGCAGGTCCCACTTTCATGCCTAGCAAAGGCATTATATCATCCTTAGTCAGCTGCAGCAGTCGCTTGCCATCGATCTTGTTACGGCTAAACGTGTCACAGTGTGCGGTACAGTCGTTCACACGCAAAAACTGTGAGACATCATATACGTTCCAGGTGTCGGGCATCAACTCCAGATGAGCATCATTTGAGTCAGCATCGGCCAAACGAGGAATGTACTTGCTGTTCGTAACCGCAGAGTTCTGTTTGACGATAAGGGAAATCAAGAAAGTTAATTGATGCTGCTTAAAGGCGGTTAGGTTGGAGGCGTGGCTGGGCTTTGTACCGGGTGAATTGTTGATGAAGCTATGCAAGTACCAAAATAACAGTGCGTAAACATAAGTTATATACAAATTGCATTCAAGTTTTGCTGAATTTTTGATGATTGTTAATATATATATATATATACATATAAAACTATATATATATATGTTTATAGGTGGACTAGCGGGCGGGCGGGCAGTTGTTTGATTGTTTCTAAAAGCTATACGCACTATTATCCTAAAGTACTCACCGCAATGTAACTAGTGGCTTTGCGACCCATAATTGGTGGCGCAGGAGATTTAGTAGTAGAAGATTTCTTTACCATTGTTTTGCTGCCATTGCCATTGCCATTGCCATTGCCACTGCCACTGCTGGCTGTTGGCGTTACCGTGCTGGATTGAACACTAAGTGATCCAAATTGATCGGAACTCGTTGTTGTAGACTGTTCGGATATATGGCTGGTGCTGCAATCGCCATCGGCATCATCCTCCGCAACCCCATCCTCATCCTCATCTTCCTCGACCTGATTATTCTCATAGAAGGCAGCATTGTGATGCTCTGGCTTCAGTTCTAGCTTAATGCTCAGCTTCGGCAAGTGCGGCGTAGTCTTCAAGGCGATCGTGCGCGGCTTAACAGCTGCAAAGATAATATTAGAAGTTAATTGAATTGCTAGGCTTTCACTTGTTTGCGTCCAAGCCCACCTGTCTGTGTGTTATTGTCATGTATCGATTGCTTGTTGCTCGCAGCGCCAGTTGCGCCATTGGCTCCCTTTTTAGTCTTGCGCTTTCTTTGCACTTTGGCTTTAGGCGCTGGCTTAGGTACCTGTTGATGGGCAACGCGCGGGGGTCCCTCCAATTTGTGGCCAACGAGCACACACCAGCCTACAGGATATATATCCGCAGATTCGCAGTCCAACCACTGATCATACTCGTCCGTCCAACCATCAAAGTGAACTTTAAGTAGACGACCCACAACGCGCGCCACTGTGGCCACACACACCAGACGCGGGTCCATGAGATCAGCACATTCCAGGCTCATACCAGCTTCAAAGCCATGATCGGGTACAATGCGATGGAACAGATGCTGACCAGCCGCAACGGCGCCAGTATCGCGCAAGTAGCCCTCCCAGGTAAAAGTGCGCGAATCGTAGCCATTGGGTGGCGTTACAGTTATGTTATTGGAGTCACAAAAGCCAGCCGGGAAAATGCAAGGCGACTTCTCATGATAACAAAACCTGCAAGTATAAATAAAATTGTTTGTTTTATTTAATTATTGGGTTTCTACTCGCATGCAGGCTCACCAATCTGACCCTGAGGCGTCCGGTTGATATGAATCGATGCGTATCATCATATATCCAAATTTGAGAACAGCCATCACCGTGGCTGGACAAATTGAGGATAGATTAAGCGGATCGACAGCCTCCAGCTTCATGCCTTCGATAAAGCCATTAGTTTTACCATCCAGAAAGTATTCATCAAAGGTGAAATTCATCTTGAATAGCTCAATGGTGGCATCATCCTCGTGCACTTCAATCATGGCCTCACGACCCGCTGAAAAATGTCACATTTCAAATACGGAACGACACTGAAGTTCTAATGTAATTTACCCAGCATGCGCTCCAAATAGTCTTGTGGCGCGGCCAAATTGTGTCCCACTGTTGTGGCCCAACCTACTGGATGTATGATGGGCGAGTCCTCGTGGCACCAGAAGCCATCGTCCGAATCAAAGTAGCGCAAGAAAAGACGTTTACCTACAATCTTGGTCACCGTGGCCAAACGCACCTGTGATATGCGATCTTTGTCCACGCATTCGAGATTCAGGCCGAGTCGGAAGCGAGACTGCAAACTGTCATTGATCTTATTATAGAAATTGGAGGGCAATGTGCGTGCGCCGGACAAACGTTCAACGAGAAAATCCTTCCAATCTTTGTACTTGTGCTCGATGGTGCGTGGCGGTATTAGAGGCTTTCCTCGCGTCGCACACCATCCCACAGAATGGACTTCGGCATTGCAGAGATTCACCCAAAAATCGTGCGAGTCTATATCAAAGCCCTCGTAACTCATTAACGCCTTGTAGCCCTTAATTTCCACTATGGTGGCCACCCAAAACGATGTGGGCGTCTGTCCCGGCTGAATGATCTCAATGTTATCGCAATCGGTGTTTTCCACCTCAACCTTCATGCCCACACCCAGATTGTCCCACACCTCGTAGCCGGGTGCGTGTGGAAAGCAGGTAACGGGCGCCGCGAAGAAGTTAACTTTGCTCAGACGCGGCAGCCAGTCATACGAGTGCGTCGGATCGTACATGCGCCTTCGTATGCTGATGATTTTCTCCATTTGTGGGCATGGCGCCGGAAGACGTTCGTATTTCGGTATTTGTGGCAGTTCGTCTTGCGGAAAAGCATCACGAAACAGTCGCAGCGCTTTAGGCGTCGGCGCAGCATTCACAAATGTGTTGCTGGCGGCGGCGTTCCCCTCGCTGCCACTGGCTTCTGCAGGCGGCGCTGCAGCATCTCCGACAGCAGCCCCATTGAGTGCTGCAATTGTCTCCTCCGTGGCCATTTGAACATTATTAGCAGCTGCATCGCCGCCCAGCGACATGGGCTCCCCGAATCCATTCAGCTGCGTTATCTTCGACTGATCAGTGATACGAAAACGATAGTTGGCATTTTTGATATGTGCCGCTTGCAGCGTTAGCTCAATGTCCGACTGCTGCTGTTGTTGTTGCTGCTGTTGATCCTGTGCATCCGATGGCGATGCAAGATTTGCTTCTAATGTGGCCGAAGACTCTGGCATTTCCAGTGCAGCAGCTGGCGAGCTGCTGGCATCCATCTTGCTGTTGAGCACCAGCGAATAGAGCTCGCCACGAGCACAGGCCATGCTGCAGAAACGTCGTGACTTTGTGTAGAATGTATGCTTCACACCGATGGCACCACAACGTTCACAGACAGCTGCGAAGCAAAGCATAATTTGGCTGGATTAGTTACAGAATTAGAAAAGTTCTCTTAAATTGCTAACTAATTAGAACTATGACTTATTACAATTGCGTAGAAATAATTATATTATCGGATTAGTGTCAAAATTGTAAGCCTAATCACAGTGATTGATCGATGTTGGATCAAAGTAGCTTTGTGCATTGGACATGTGCATAAAGAGAATTCGAATTGAAGTCCCATGCGAGATGATTGTGCAGCTGTCTTAGCCAAAGGTCATCATGCCCAGTTCTATATGCAATTAGATTTATAACTATTTGCCCAAAGCTAATATAAATATAAAATTGAAATCATATGAGAGACAATGTCATAGTTGATGAAATTTGGCACGGTGCCAAAATTTTGTTCCAGAAATTCTTGTTTTTGATTCAACTAATTATATAATACAGCTAACATATAGATAACCAGTTCTACTTTAACTTTTCGGTGTGGAAAAGACCCAAATTTAAATTGAAATTCATTAAACAATGCGTAAAAATAAAGTTACAAGAAATATAAACAGGTGAAGCGCGGGAAATTATAATTAAAAGAAAATCATGTAAAATGATGGTCAGTGAAAACATACCCATGCCATCTTTCTGTATCGGTATGACCGAGGGATCAATGTTGCCCTTGTAGGCAATCGGTGTCTTAAGCACGAGTCCAGGCCGATTTACTGGCTCAATTTTGCGCGTCTTGCGCTGTGCTCGCATCGAGGAGCTGGACCCAGAGCCAGACCCGCTATTGCCAGCTTTACAACTGCCGGAGGCGATGCTGTACGGACGCATTGCTTTGGCGGGGGGAGTGCCAGTTGTCTCCTCGCCAGCAATTAGGATATTGGCAAAGCCATTGCCACTGCCAGCTGCTGTCATGCCGGTCAGGGATGTGCTGGCTTGATTTATCATAGCATGCGTGGTGCCCAGCAGCTTGTGATGCAACAGGCCATCGCCTAGCGGCACAAGCAGATCATGATTTGGCATACTGGTCATGCACGAGGATGATGACTGTGATATATCCTTATCCGAAGAGGTCATAAAATCGGTGCCATCATACGAATTGTTATCCTCGTTCATCATTACGAAATCATCAATGTTTATGATCTCCTGCTTGGTCTCTAGATCGGACATACCGCCACTAGCGCCGCCGTCATCATAGCCGTCTTCCAACTGACCATAGACCTGCTGATCATCATCAACTGCCGCCGACCCAACGCCCATCAGTGTGACACCGGCATTGTTGCCATCATCGCCATCCATAACTTCGGCATAGTTTTGAAAGACAGTTGCCGCGGCGGATTGCTGCAGCAGCTGCTGTTGCAGTCCGCCCATATGCGCAAAGCCGTACAGATTATTTGTATTTGTGGCGATTAGCGTTCCCGGCTGTACGCCCAGTGCTGCAGCGGCTGCTGCTGCCTGTCCCGTAAAATCCCCCCCAACAATGCTCATCATTGGACTCATATCCTTTTTGTGGTAAGGAGGTGTTATTCATGTTGTTGTTGTTTGTGTTTGAGTTTGTGTTGAGTTTCAGTTGAGTTGGTTTTATTTTTATAGGCAGTTGAATACAGTTGACAGTTGAATGGATACGGATACGGATACAACGTAACCAATACATAAATCATAGAAAAGAAAGTAGAAGGAAATAAGTAAACGAATTCCAATTTGTAACTAAAGCATAAACAGATGATATTGTATATAAATATATGAAAGGTGTTTCTGTGATACCTGAATTATGCTAAATCTCATGCCATTTCCACCTGTTGATGTTGCTTCATTTAAATACGATTTTAAATATTTGCCCTATCTGAACTAAATACTACCTTATTTGACTTTTTGTAACTTAGATTCAATCTAATAGGATTAATATTATATATTGGCGCAATTGTTGCAACATAAAATGTAAATTGCAAATACAGTTAGTCTGACAAATGTTATAAATAGCAAATTTCATTATTGAAATCCTCAATAGCACTAATAATAAATATTTTAATTTCTTTATTTAGAGCCTAAATATTTTCGGCTTACTCAGTTAAAATTTTGGTAACGATAATTCCATTCATGAATCAAGAAAGATAAGGACTTACCAAAGTAGGCTGATGTGTCATGTCCTCCATAACGGATAGACCAACAGTTGAATGACCCAGCAGAGTTGCAGCATCCTCCAGTGTGATGCGCTCCGAGTTGTATTGGCTGCTCATCCACATCATCCGCAGCTCGGCCGGATTCATTGTATATAGTTTCGCTTGTTGATGGTTGTTGCTGTTGTTATTGTGACTTTAATATATTAGTTGTTTATTATTTAGACAAATTGAAGCGTCTTTAGTTATCATTTGTGAATCGGCGACTTTGGCTGCAATGGGAAACACACACAAGTCACAAAACACATATACACATATAAACAGACTCCTGCACTTGCTGACCATATGGACCGTCATCGGCGCCTGTTTTTTCTAATTCTTCTTCTGTTTCTGTTTTTTTTTTAAGTTCCGCTTCTGTTTGTTTCCCCTCTTTACGCTTTCCACGAAATCGAAATCGAAATGCAGCTGCTGGCAAAATGCTCTAACGATTTCCAATTGCAATTAAATAGTCAAAAAATCACTTAAAGAGATTTGCAATAGAATTCGGTTTACAAAAACCGAAATATTTTAAGCAGTTTTGGTCATTTTTACGCTTTACACTCGCTCGAAAAGTCAATGAAGCGCACCGTGCGACCAGACGACGAACGATCGAACACAAAAGAAAACTAACAAATCGTCCTCACGCATCAGAAAACTTACATTTTTAGCACATCTAATACGAAGTTTTTTTGTGTCAATTGGTATGATCACATTTGTTGCTATTTATTTTAACGCGTTTAATAATTTTGTCGCAATTACCAAGTTTTTGGCATTCTTTTACGCGCAAATTTAATGCTAGTTTAGCGATGATTGGTGATGCGCAAACGATAATTAGTGTTGTGTTATTATTAATATGTGAATCTCGTGGATCAAGCAGTGCTGTGAAATTGTTAAGTTTCATCAACATCCGAATACATCGATAAATAAAGATCTGGAAATTATCAAGACTGTTGTGCTAAGTACCACAGTTATTAAAATATGAAATGATTAAAACCATTTTTTTTAATTTGTGTCATAGCATTACATAAAGAATTATATTAAAATTATCGTTTGTTATTTTAAATATATGTCTATCGATATACTAGTATAATCCGAAATTATCAAACACTAGTTATAGTGAAGACAATGAAAACGCAAATAAATAAATAGCCAAACAATAACAAGCAAAATATATATATACATATATAACACATATGTAAGCTGAGGAAAATGCCCGAAAATGCATTACCAGAACAAATTCGCACCACTTTGGGAGGCTGCACTTTTGGACAACGCCGAGAGGATATTTTTCGACGATTACAGCAAACTGCGCAACAAACAAGTGAAACCTACAGTGGAAAACGCGAGCTAGCAACGGAAAAGGATGATGTCGTGCAGGAATTGTGTGAAGCATTGGAGGAAACCCTTGCGTATGGCCTACGACAGACGTTAAATGTCACAATGACGGCAGCGAGTATCTTTCAAAATATGCATGAGATCGTAACAGGTGGCAGTGGCAGCAGCAGCAACAGCAATGAAACGACATTCTGGGATTTCTGTGAAACGCAGTTGACTCCACACGAAAAGCAGCGTTACGAGGGACTCAAGCAGATCTGGACGAAACATGGACGCGGCCGCGCTTTTATTCGTGCCACACTCAATGAAAAGCGTCTGATGAGTCATGTTCTTACTTGGCTAAGTGACGAATCGCAACTGCAACGCTTCTATACACCCTGGTCGTTGTTGCTTAACGAGGAGGCGGCCAAGAAATTGCCCGAAATACTAGAAAGTCTCAAGGATGTGCTCTTTGCTCTGAATGTTGAAAATCCTGAACTTAATGCGTCAAAACGTTTTGCCGTGCAAGGAGTGGGGATTGTCAAAGAGGAGCCAATCATCTATGCACCACAACCCGTACCTGTGGCAGTACGCAAGCAAGGACGCTTATCAAATGCTGTGAAGCGACCGATTGTGTGCGCCAACTCAACGGAGGATTTATTGGGCGCACTTACTCCTAGAGAAATGCTGGAAGTACAGCAAATAACATCAAAAGATGCAGTTGAGGAGGAATTGAAGCAATCGATGCCAGCAGAACCCATTTGTACAACCCCATGTGATCCAATAGAACCGGAATTGGAGTTTCTTAAAATTCCATTGCCCGATGTGCATCCAATTGGCCAAGATCAGGAAAGTGAACAAGAATCTCAAGAGCTCTTTGAGGATCACAGCGACACTTCCTCGCAGTGGAGCAAATCTTCATCATCAGCCAATGGCGCCAGCAGTCAACAGACCACGCAACTGGCAGAGCAGGTTACCCAGCTAAACGAACGCTGTGCACTGCTAGAAACACGCGTGGCTGAACTGAAGTTACAGAATCGACAACTGATTCGTCGGCTCACTAAGCAGTTCAACGAGACGGGCATAGATCCCAATTCGTCGTTTTGTTCCAACTTTCTGATTACCATTCCACAAGTGAAACTTGTTAAGACACCCCGTTCGGGCTCGCATTACGTTTACGAGATGCATATTACTATGCGCCAGAGGCTGGAGCATTGGACACTGTTTCGTCGTTATAGCGAATTTAACAAGCTACACAAATCTTTGCTCCGTACACATCCCAAAAGAATTAACTCCATCGAGTTTCCCCCCAAAAAGCATTTTGGAAACATGAATCTCGTCTTTGTGGAGGAGCGAAGACAGCAACTACAAATCTATATGTTAAATGTTATGGAGGCGTTACCGCAGGTGGAGGCGTGCAAGTCGAAAGCGGAATTACAAAAAGTGTTTCCATTTTTTCGCGAGCGATAGTATTACTATCAAGGCAGCAGAGCCAAAAACAACTCTGGACCAACAACTTAAGAAGTTAAAAGTATTTTTCACTCGTTAAGTTAATTCTGTTATATTTATTCAAATGTTTATTTACATGTATAAAAGAGGAGCTGAGTTTGTGAACAGCTACAAAATGCTGCAGAAAAATGATATTAAATAAAATTTTTAAATAGTAATAAACATATTAAAAACATTTCACTCTTAACCGTACTTGATATGAACAATTATTGGCAACAAAATATTTATTATATCGATATTTTGCAATCTCTGTTATGTCTTCCCGTTACGCCGAATTGGAAAAGAAAGTACTCACTTTGCGTGAAGATGTATCGATATATTTTTGAGTATTAAGACTTCCAATCGATAGCGTTTTTAAATAGAGCGATTACTATTTGCTGGCCCGCTTGGAAGCAATAGAACAGCTGTGTTTGTTATTATCTGTAGTCATAATATTGCGTGTACATTTCAGCTGGGCCCAACATTACAGTCCATTTTCCTCATAATGATTTTCTAAGTGATAACCTTTCGCATTTTCGTGCATTCATGAATATACATTAACTGTGCACATTCAAACACAAACATTAAGTTTGTGCAGCATACGTCTGTGTAATTAATTTGTGTGCAACTATAATCTAATTAGCGCAACTGCAGCATTCGACATGTCCACGACAGCAATTGCAATCATTAGTTCCATATCTGTGGGAGCGTACCTCATGACGGTACGCATGATACCCCGTCTCCGAGAAATGTTCATGAAGGCAAATTTGTGCGGCCGAGATCTGTGCAAAAAGGACAAGCCTCAGGTGTAAGTCATGATGATAGATCTGTTCATACATTCTAACGTATAGCTCTGTTTGTTTTTGTTCCAGTCCCGAGTCCTATGGTGTAATTATTGGCTGCGTTTTCTTGATCTCAATGTTTCTCTTTATACCCATACCATTTGCATTTGATAAGGATGCCGCAACGGATGCAGTAACTGGCGGTAAGCCGGCCACGTTTCCCCACGATAAGGTGATTTACGATGAGTCAATTCTACAAGGGCAAACAAATTATTATATTGTTATCTCTTGGAACAGTTTGTGGAACTAATTGCCGCTTTGTTATCAATATGCTGTATGATATTTCTTGGCTTTGCCGACGATGTTCTCGACCTACGCTGGCGGCATAAGCTTCTGCTTCCCACCATAGCGACGTTGCCCCTGTTGATGGTCTACTTTGTGAACTATAATTCAACGACGGTCATGATGCCCAACTTTGCACGCGGACTCTTTGGCACATCAGTTAATATTGGTAACGATTTGATTAAGTACATACTTTTGGCATATTAACATATTATTATATTATAGGCATCTTGTATTACATATTCATGGGCAGTCTGGCTGTATTCTGCACGAATGCCATTAATATACTCGCAGGCATCAATGGCCTGGAGGTGGGTCAGTCCATAATCATTGCCGGCTCCGTATTGGCATTTAATCTAATCGAACTCAGCCTGGGCCATCAGGTGGAATCACATCAATTTTCACTCTACTTTATGATACCATTTTTTGCTACCTCCTTGGCTTTATGGAAATTTAATAGGTAAGTGAAAAACTGGATGAAAGACATTATTAAATGATAATTTTAGACAATTAAGGGAAGATTATGATAACTAGAAAAATGATAAAAAAAATATTTATTCAAATTTGATTTATTTCATAAATTAGCTGAAATTAAATTGTTTATAACATTTATTAATATATATATTTATAAACAAACGAAATGATTCATATCATGAACCTGCATACTTAAATTACATATTTTTAACTTAACTCACAACGGCAAATTCCATGAAATTTGAGAATCATTTTTAAATTCTTTTCTAGTTTAGTTTCTTATCACAGATCTGTCTGTCTGTCGGCGCTGTCTGCCTGCTGAGATACTAAATTTTGAATTGTTTTTAATGAAAAATTAGAGCATGATGTGCATATATCTATAATGATGGCGATATGTTTGATATGAAGAAAAAAATCATATAAGTTCGATTGATGTATGGGAAAGCAGGCATATATACATATTAATATATATAGCCGAGTAGGATTATGGATGTTTCTTAGTCTTAGTCTTCATCCTCCTGCACATCGTCCAGTGCATTCGTATCATACAAATTGACTAGCAATTGTCCAAATTGACTGCTATAAAGCAGCGCCGTTTCTGGCGCATAATATTTCTCACTCTGTTGCCGCAATCGCAACATGGTGCGTCCATCCAGATGGATGCCAGCGCCCATTAGTTGCTGTACGTAGTCGGCGTCAATGCGTGAACTTCTCGTTTCGTTGGGCATTCGTATATTTGGGCTATTCCCAGTTTGGTTGGCTGTTAGCATCTGAACAATCTGCTCCGGCGGCATGCACAGCTCACAGCTCCAGCCGCCAAAGTGATTGAGATCGCCCAGCGTATAGGTAGCTTGTCGCTCCAGCCTTTGCGGGTCCATTTGAGCGCTGTGAACATGCACTATGGAACTAATGACCCCATCCAAGCGTGTTAGCTGCGGATATTGCCAGTAGAAGCCGTAGACGTTGTGCTTTAGCCTGAAGCGCAATGGCAGCACATCAGCTGCAAAATATTTAAGATATTTCAAGGCCGCCGGCGCATAAACAGTTTCTCCATTGCCATACAACAGCAAATCTGTGGGCTGCATTTGCACACCGCATCGTGCCCAGAGCTGGTGGCGAAAGTAGCTGTAGGCAGCCGCCCCGCTACAGTTCCCATGACTCTGTACACCTTCGCACTGATAAAGCAGATAGCTGGGAATGGGCATCGCGTCCAATTGGCGCTCGAGCGTGCGCCGTTTCAGTCTCTCCTTGCTGTCCCTGACATAGTAGTATATGAGAAATATATCCACAACCTTGATGAGTGTGCGCAGCTGCAGTTCCAGCAACTCCATATTAATGTGCTCCCAGGCACCTAAATTAAGTATATAGTAAAGGCGTTTTAATGACGTGCTGCTCGCCTCGTGCAGCTTCAATGGCGCTTCGTTGCCACCCCGCTTGCTGGCCCGACTGTGCGTCATCAGTGCTCGCCATATAATCTCCGGCTGTCCACAGTCACGTCCATGCCAGCCGCTGGCACACATGCACTGTGGCTGTGCCAGCAGATAGTCTACGCTGTTGCGTCCCTGTCGGGATTCGTTTAGCGTGCCCTCACTATAGCACCAAAGAGTTGGAGTCAACTCCATATCCATGTAAGCCGGCATAGCGTAGTCTGCAGAGCGATTCAGTTGATCGATTTTCATTTGATAGAAATCTTGTTGATATCGATTAATGTTTTCACCTCGCTGGCAATGGGTAGACGCTAGTGACTTCTTGGCATTCTTAGTCTGCTGAACGAAGTGCACACGCCCCACCTCTAGTTCCAATCCGTTGTTGTTGTTACCGGATTGCAGTTGGAGTTGATTGTGATTGTTCTGCAGCAGCCAAATACAGGCAATGAAACACACCTGCACCAGCACCACAGACCACAAGACGAGCTTTTTGGTATTCGCCAGACGGCCGCCGGCTGTTAAAGTCTGAGCCGTGTGCCTGGCCATGGTGTGTTATTGTTACTACACGCAATTCATGCTTATTTATTCTTATTTTTGCTTGCGACTTGTGCGTTTTTTTTATTTTTTCTTGCGTTTTTACTCAGCTAACACACCCACTTTTCACATATTTCTGCCCACCCGCACAGCTGTCGCATGCCTTGTTCCTTTTTTTATAACGCCTGCGTCTATCAGCTGTTCAATATTGGACACGAAATGTCTACAAATATTTAAGATTTAATTTTAAAGTGGCATGCAAATTAACATAATCCGATTTTAATTTTTAATGATCTTTTATTTTTGCATTTTAATTTATAAATTATTGCTAATTTATCGCGAACATACTTTTTTATATTGTGACGTCACTAACACTCGTTATTACCATGCGATAGGTACAACCTTCTCTTACTAAATATTTACACTCATTTTTGTTCATCTGTACCAAAGTTGGTACTTTTGTACCTATTCATAATGATGATTTTCTTATTTGTCCAGTGTGACCTTGCCTTGTAAATATTCTATACATTCAAATGTTTTAATTTTTATTTGCAGATATCCATCTCAGGTGTTTGTGGGCGATACGTATTGTTATTTTGCCGGCATGTCGTTTGCCGTTGTTGGCATTCTGGGGCATTTTAGCAAAACGCTTTTGCTCTTCTTCATACCGCAAATACTCAATTTTCTGTACTCGACCCCGCAATTGTTTCACTTTGTGCCCTGCCCGAGGCATCGATTGCCCAAATATGATGCCAAAACGGATTTGTTGCACATCAGCACAACGGAATTTCGCATCAACGAACTGGGCAGCCTGGGTCGCCTAATGGTCAAAGTGCTGCGCACCTTCCGTCTGATCAGCTGGCAGGAGCTGCCCGATGGACGCGTTATTACCAACAATTTTACACTCATCAACTTTGTGCTGGTCATCTTTGGACCGGTGCATGAACGTATTGCTACTCAAATGCTGATGTCCTTCCAGTTGATGTGCACCTTGGTGGCCCTTTTCATACGTTACCCGCTTGCCAACTACTTCTACACAGTGGAAACATAGTAAGCGTTCGATTCGGTTATGTCTATATAAATATATTTAACATAGTTTATGTAAATATAAAACACAGTTCCCAAAACTAATTTAAGTACGAAATATTTATTACAAACCCAACGAAGTAATAGACAAAATAAAATTATATTATGAGCATTTCAGAGGGGTCTGATGAATCGGATCTTTCCTTTCCAGATGAGGAGGATGAGGGTCCAAATATCGGCGTAGGTCAACTGGGTTTCATATCTCCGGTTTATTTTCGTTTTTATTTCATCTATCTGTAGAAATACATTGGAGGACGCAATGCATCTGGACAGCGTCACGGACGTGGCTGGGCTATTCTGCCAAATGGCGATCAGTATGATGGCAATTATCGCAAGGGAAGGCGCCACGGCATAGGGCTATATGTCTTTAAGAATGGCGCTCGTTATTATGGCCAGTATCGATGTGGCACTCGCTCTGGCCGCGGCATATTCATTTATCCAGATGGTTCCGTCTACGAAGGCAACTGGCGCAAGAACCTGAAGCACGGCAAGGGTCGCTATAATTATGCCAATGGGGATACCTACTCGGGCGATTGGTATAAGGGTCAGCGTCATGGTGTCGGCATCTATACCTTTAAGGCCGAGAAGGACAACTGCTGCATGACGGTTCGCCTTAAGTCCACTTGGAACAGCAACTTGCGCATGGGACCCTTTGAGCTGTACATTGGCAACGATGACAAGTGCACCATTCTACACGGACTCTGGGACGATCTTTATCCCAATGGGCCAGCTGTATTCAGCTTTGATAATCGTTATATGCTGCTTGGCTATTTCTTGCCAAGCGATTATAGATTTAAAGAGGCTCGAGCCTCCGGAAATTTAGAGGAGGACGAAATCAACTTGGATGACGAAATGGGAAATGAAGAGGATAACAAAACGGAGCCTAATGCTACATTGTGGTTTGCCCAGGAAATCGCTGTCTATGACTATTCCCTACTGCCGCAAGAGCCAGTACCATTGCCCATCTCAGATTCTGAGCTTTCGGTATGCTCGGTAACCACAGAGGGGAGCATGCTCAGCCAGGAGAAGTTCAGCTTCTATGGCGAGGGCGAGGAAGGCGAAGACGAAGGCGAGGAGGTCGAAATGGAGTGTTTCCCATGCGAATGCGACTTTGAGCTCAGTGAATTTGATTCGGAATCCGAACCATGCAAGATCGATGCCAATCCTTGTGCCATCGAGGTGCTCAAACAGCCCAATTGTCCCGAACCATAGTGTGAAACTATGTCCATACATTTGTTTGTTCAGCTTTAAAATCCATGTCAACAAAACGTTTGGCATTATATATCCCACACAATTTCTTTGTGAACTATAATACTATGTACTATAATATTAGGTAGGGTAATGGTATACAGCGTGTTTAAATGGTGCAAATCCAATAGTTAAAATTATAATAATAATAGTCATAAATATATTTGTGTATAATTTTTTGGTTGCTTTATTTACCTTTTCAGAATTTGAATAAAATTTGTTTTTCATCTTGTTTAAAAATACGTCTGCATATATTTAAGTAGATTTAATGCGCTCTCTATAAATAAATCGCTTCATATGTTATTGATGAAATCACAAATGGGGGCTTTCCAAGTATTATTGACATTATTGATGATACCTTCGACACGAGCATTATATATATATAATTTTTTTAATTTTTGACTACCATTTAAATCGTATGACTTGTTTATTTTTTAATTTTTGTTTTTTTTTTTACACTTCATCTTTTATTCAGCATTTGAATTCATTAAGTTGCACTAATTAACACTACACGCAATTATTGTTTGATTCCTTTTTCATTAAACACATTTGAAACATTAACTTCAGTTGTATGTGCTTATAGGGTCCGTTTCATTTTGTTTTTAAATTATGTATTTTAAAATTAATAAAATCTCTAAGTGTTAGCAGGCTTAGCAATTGCCGACTGATAGGATGATGGACAGCAGTTATCAGAGCTGCTGTTGGATTCGCATTCGTCTGTCGAGCCTGTCGCTTTGGAATCCTTCTCTTGTTCTGTGTTCATCTGATGATTTTGAGATAGTACGGCTTCGTCACATGCCTCCGCAACGATGTTAAGCTGCTCCTTGGGCAGGTGCAACGTTGTCAATGTCGACTCATCGACTGGATTCAGATGAACCATCTGATGTGGCTCTCCGTCTGTGGTGAGTAGCTCGTGCAGCGTGCTACCATCTCGCTGTTTAGATACCTTATAAATAGCAGGACACGATTTGGAATTTTTAACGTCATTCGCATCCTTCAGTTCACCCATCTCCACATTACTGATATTATTCTCATCCATTAGCTGCGCATTCTGATTGTTATCCTCTATGCTGCAAGCAGCTAAAGCAAAAGCCATAGCAGCTGCCTGACTGCTGCTTGCGCCCTCTGGATAAACATTTAATTGTGATTTGCTAAAGAGCAACAGTTGTGGATCAATCTTGAAGTCGTGCAAATCAAGCTTCTGATGATCCAAATTCTCGTCAATATAGTTAATGTGTATTGGTGTGTTTTGCAGATGCAGATCGGAGCTCTGGAATATATCGTCATCTGGTGGCGTGTAGTATACGGAAGCCTTGCTAGCCGAATTGTTAGCCGCCATTAGGCGTGATTTGATTTTCTGTATGTGCAACTCCTTCTCCATTTGGTTCTTGAAATAACAGTCTATGTCTGCGAAATTACATAGTATTAATTACATTTTCTATGTATATATATATATTCTTACCCTCGACAATGTCTTCCTCGCAGCGTCCACGACAATTCTCAAAGTAAAAGCTGGGCAAGTTTTCCAGCACTTTGTTTAATGACTGCTGCTGGTACTTGTAGCCCTCACGTAGTCGCAATACCTGATGCGCACTAAATTTACGGATCTTATTGCGCTGGAAGACATAGTTCTCGCGCACCCAACTCAATTGGCCAGTAGAATAGTCGCGCACCTTTTTCACTTGATCGTAATATTGATCTCTTAGTGCGGTCAAATGATTGGATCCCATGTCACGAAACTCCTTGACGTGCTTGGCTTGCGTTGTATAGCTGCTCTGTATCCACTCAACTTGTTGTGCGCAATTCTCCCGTATGCGATGCACTTGCTGTGCATAATTTTCGCGTAAACGCTCCAGCTGCTGACTTTTGTAGCTCTCAATGCTATCCAGCATGGCGTAAATTTGCCGTGACCTTGGCGACCTTTTGTTGCGATTTGCACAGCAGCTCATACGCTCACAGATCCCGCATCTGTCCAGGCAGCTGCGCAATCCTTGAACCAAAAGTGTAAGCAACAAAAATGCAGTGGCAAGCAAGGTACCAGCTAGAAGGCTTTCGATTTTTACACGATAAAATACAATTGGATCGATGTACAGCCTGTGAAGATAAACAATACAATCAGAATACAATTGAGTAATCGGATATGATGATTGGGTACATATTGTATACATATATATCATACTACCTTATGCCCGCCGATGAATTGCCCATCACATTAAAGGCATAGCATGTGTATAGGCCGCTGTCGCCACGTGATATATTGTGAACGAGCAGCGAACCATTCTCAATGAGTACCACGCGCTGACCCACAATTGTCTTCTGTCGGCTGATGTTGATGTGCAGCGATTTGGTGTTGCTGTCATCCGTCAGAGCAAACAGCTCAAATTTACTCGGCTGATGCTCTTTATCGCTGTTGATGATGGTAGGTCGCTTGTCGGGATCGGCATGATGCCGTAGAATCTTGTGACGTGGCGTCACCTGCAAACAGCAAACCAATTAGATATTGAGATATTTTAATTACACAAGTACCAGTATGTTACCCAAATAATATCTGGAGTGGGACTGCCGTAAACCATGCACTCTAGCTTGGCTGTGGCATGCAGCCTGTACATCTTGGGCGCTGAAGATTGCACCACTACTGGTACACTACAATTGAGATTGCTTAACACGCGCAGCATGTCCCCGGGATAACCGTATTGGCACTTGAGTGCATCGATCTGGTTATCAATATGCTCATACGAGTCCAATCCACGACCGGCACTTGGAGTTGCCCGTCGCAAAGAGGTCGTCGCATTTGTTAACCAGCCGGACAGCCAGTACATGCTGCAGTCACATTGATATTCATTGCCCAAGATGTTCAAATAGTGCAACTGGTTTAGCTCTTTGAGCCCCTCGGGCAGAGATCCCAGACGATTACCACGCACACTCAGCCGCTGCAGACGCGACAGACTGGCGATCTGTGAGGGCAACTTTGTAAGACTATTATCGGCCAGCAACAGCTCGCGCAGATTGCGCACGTTCGCAAACAGCGTGGTGGGTAGCTGAGTGAGCTGCAGATTTTGTTGCATGGATAGATAGCGCAGGCGTTGCAGTATTTGCCCATCTACATAATCTTCGTCGCGGGAAATCCAATTGGGCAGCTGTTCGAGCGGCGTTTCATCGATGCGCAGCAGCACTAATTTGCGCTGCGCCTGAAAAAGGCCGTCGGGTAATTGCTTGAATTGATTCCGACTCAAATCCAATTGCTGCAATGAGCCGAGTGGCTGGAATACAATTGATGACAGCACTGTTAGTTTATTGCCAGATATATTGAGAGTCATAAGATGTTCCAACGACTCGAATGCCTTTCGATCGATGCTTCCCAGCTCATTCTGTGATACATCCAGGTGACGCAGCTCGCGGAGATTATATAGGCTATGCTTGCCTATGGACTTAAGCTGGTTGCGTTGCAGCAGAAGCTGGCGCAATTGATTATTGAGTGCAAAGAAGTTGTCTGGGAATGAGAGCAGGCGATTATCGCTTAGATCCAAAAGGCGCAGTTCACGTGCCGTCTGGAAGAGCTGGAACGGCAAAACGGTCAACTGATTGCCTGAGAGGTGCAGCAACTCCAGCTGCAATGCACCCTGAAATGTGTTACGCGGCAGCTCGATCAGATGATTATCGCTCAGATTCACCAGTCGGAGCTCGCTTAGTTGCTGCACGAACTGCACGGGTAGCGCGTGCAGCTCATTGCGATCCAAGTGCAGCTCCAACAGATGATTCATATGCTGCAATTCACTCAGGCTGCAGTTGGCGGCCAAGCGATTGCCACTCAGCTTAAGTACTTTAAGGCGTCGCATCGCCTGTGGCTGCGCCCAATGGATACAGCTTAACAAATTCTCACTAAAGTCCAATAATTCAACAGACTCGAAACGTTGCACCTGCTGCTCGAAGAGTCGTTGTAGTGTCTTATCTTGGAGTGAACTCAATATCCATTTAAATTTCTGTATACTTTCGTATTGTTGCAACTTTAGTGTTGCTTCGCCAGAGTTGTCCGGCACATTCATCAGCGCTATCTGCTCATAGTTCATATGGCTATTGAGCTGCAGCTGGGCATTGATCTCTGTTACGCTGACATTTTGACAGCGCAGCTTAACGATGCTGTTGGCGGGATCACCTTCCTCAGAACTGTCCAGCTCTTGGTCCTCCTGTCTGATATACAATGGCTGTGCGCTACTATCCAATAGCCAGGCATCATCGAGACTATAGCCATCGTCCACATCCGAGTCCACAGCATGGCCCACAAACGGCAAATGGAACTTGTAACCCAACAGCGAGAATTCATGCTCCTGCCACGTGCGTATCGGTACCAATTCCGCTCCCTTTATAGCTCTTCCCGGTGACTGCAACGTGGCGTTCCTCGAACTGTAAGCTGTGATGCAACTATGTTTATTTGGCGCATCGGCTGCAGCGGTGGCAGCGGCGACCGCATTGTAAACAAACAACGCAGCCAATATCAAGGAGATCTTGGATATTGTTTCCATTTTTCCGTGTACAATCTCAAAAACTTATATGGCATTATATGTGTCTCATTGTTCGATCGCATAGTACACCTACGGATACAAAAACATATATCTTAATTTGAACACTATTAATGACTACAATTAAAATTAGTATATTTAACAAACCATGTGATTACCGTGAAGGCCTTTCGAATGGATTACAACATTTGTGCAATATTTTTCTGGTCTTACAACAAAGTCAGAAAGAAAGAAATATTTTACTTTGCACTGCAGAAAGTTAAAGTATGCACTACAAGTTATCTAGGCTATAAAACCTTATTGTTTACACAGAAATTAAAACTGTCTAGAAATAATCACTGTTTAGACTAGTTTAATCAAAAATTCTTATCTCCCCGACAAAAAAAAAAAAAAAAAAAACAATAAATGTTTATTGCGCTTTTTAACACTTTTTCAATGGGTAGATTATTTTTAAATTAATCAATACAAATTTTAAATATAAGAAAATATTTAAAAATAAACTTTTGTATATGCATTAAAATATGACACTCGTGGCAAGCACAATCATCTCATTATCATAACCATTTTTAATGTACATATGGTGTATAGAAAAGAGTAACTAAAAAAAAAGTCGCAAATAAAAGATAATAATTAAATTAGCGCAAGCAAAAACATAAACATACAGTTTATACGGACGTGGCTATGACGCTTTCATTGCACGTAAGGCAGTTAAAAAACTCGCTTTTTTAATTGTTAAATTTTTAAGGCCATCGAAAGAAATCGTTCAGATCAAACGTTTAGACTGTGCAAATAATACTTATCAACACGCAGCACATATACATACTACACATGTACCTAGCAAGTGTACCAAGTACCTTTTTAAGTGGCATTCATCAAAACATATGTACATACATACATATACATATAAATCTTCATTAAGAGGTTACATTTATTCTATAGCTAGTAGACTTGCGTCTGAGACGAAGTTATATAATAAAGAATCGAGAAAATTCATACGCCTGTTTATGTGCATGTATGTATGTATGCACGTATGTAAAATGAGCTCGAAAAGTGCAATAAACAACCGTTGAAGAGATAACTTATATGTATATATTTATATGACCCGTTATGTGCAAACAAATACACATGCACTTTAATAATATCAAGAGATGCTTCATTTTGCTAGTTTGTGTGTGTGTGTGTGGGTTTATGTATATAAATGACGTCCGAAAAGCCGCTAATGAGCAAAGTGTACAAATAAGAAATGTGTTTGTATTGACACGCACACCAAGGTGAAACGAGACACGTTAGTGACGCCAAGTGAAATAGAAAAGCCATTCACAAAATTAAGCTTGGGGTTTTCATATTTCCATGGCGTATTAAGGGTCCGTTTCTCCTTTTGATTACATTATACTTTTTGTTGTTTTTTTTTCTAGTATTGTATCGACCCAGCTGTACAAAACTACAGCAGCTGGAGTTGAAGAGTGTAGCTCAGTATCTACATACATATATATATATATATATATTCACGCATGAATATGTGCTTCGTTTTGTTTTTTTTTCACCCTTTTGTGGCCAAATCAACCGTTTTTGCAGTTACTCCAACGCACACAAGCATAACACACATATGTTGAAAAATTTATAAATATTGATGTGTCAATAGATTTAATTACAGTTACAACAGTGCCACCAGTACATTTACAGTCATCTATATATTACACATTATTAAAATCACTCACTGTTGCTTAACGCATTTTTAAAAAAAAAGTTGTATCCCCAATAGTTCCGACGCAGCAATTGACACTCGGTCAAAGAGGATTTAACTGTGTATTGCTGATGTTAATGGAACAAATTTATGTTATTCAATTCTATTATGCTTCTGTTATTTTATGCAAAAGTTAAAAGCCTTTTAATGTTATATTAATTAAATTTTTACATCGTTTACTTTTTATAAGAGAGTTTTAATTTATCCTATTTATGTATATAGTTTTGCTATATATTATTATGGTATTTCGCTTTTAGCTGTTAACATGCTGTTATACTCAATATAGTGATTATAGTGATACTCCAACCCTGCTTTGTAATCGATAAAACGTAATAAAGATTTAAGTCACTGTATTTCTGTTTTTGCAAGTATTTTTATATTCGTTTCGCATCTTGCTTACGAAAATATTGTTATCGATAGGTAAGTACACTTCAATTCAAATTGTTGCGCCAATTAAATCTGATTCAAAATATAAAGGTTACTTATAAAATTCATAGCGATTTCGTTTTGTTTTTTTATTATTATATTTTATTTTAAGTAAAATACTATTCTAGATTAAACGAATAAACGAATACAAAATATATTTGCAAATTAATTTTAATTTGGCATTGCCATCTATGCAAATATAAATGCATAAATAAATGCTTGTTTAGCTGTATCAACAAACAAAGCAAATGTAAGTAGGCTTTATTATTTACTTCACCTATTTACGAATTTGTATTTAAGCAAAACAACTAAGTAAATCTATATGGCCGAGACCATTGCAGATCTATAAAATATCTAGAACTAGGAGAATAAATCTCCCGCTGCCGCAAATACTTTAGGGCAATGTTTCACTGCCAACTGCATATAAGCTGCCTTTGAGTCTATCTTTAATGGCCATTTCGCGGATAATCGATTCCATATATGAATTAGACGTGAGTGCTTAATGCGTGTCAACATTTCATTTGCGCGCTTTGGGTTGATAAACAATTCCGATTGCTTCAGTGGCACCTCGTAAAACGCGCTCACATTGAACACTCTAAAGCCGTTACAACGTTTTGGATCTTCAATCATGAGCGTAACATTTTTTGTGCCACACACCTCTTGCAGGACACGCAGCAAAAACCTATGTCCATTTGAGCCAAATGAATCTTTAATTAAATGCTTGCGAAAGTCCAGCAAACACCACTCGGCAATCTGATGGCCAAAACCATTGGGCTCCAGACTCAAGACACTATTGCTAATGCTCTGATTTGTCATGGCGCCCGCATAGTTGAGGTGCAAATCCTCCAAAGTGCTCAACAGCAACACATCCAAGTCCAAAAAGATGCCTCCATAGCGGTAGAGAGTTATCAGACGAAGTAGTTCGGATATATGATGCATCAAAAAGCTAAGTGGAATATAAATATAGATATAGATATAGCTATGTGTTTTATATAATTTGATCAAACCTTGAGCGATATAGATCATCCAATTTGAGCCAGTCCGTAATGGGCGTATCCAGGATGTAAGTCTCGATATTTAACTCTCGAAATTTGATATTTTTGTAGCTCAGTAAAGCGTCAATAATAGGCACCGGTTCCTCTAGATATGTGCGACAGGCAAACAGTAAGAAAACCCTAAAATTTGGATTATGCAAGGCAGCCGCCTCAATGGCACAAGCATGACGTGCCCTCATTTCGTGAATATTATACGTCAAGTCTAAAAAATGACTTGTCTCTGCAAAGAAAATGGTCTTTCCGGGCGTTGGTTTTGAGCTGCTCAACAAAATGTCCTCGATTAGGATGTGAGCAGTGTTAGACGCTTCCAAATTTGTTGTATTATATCTGAGGTTCGCTGATGAAACATTCTGAAAAACATTTTGAAATTTCATATCTGCAGTGATATTTTTGAATTCAGGAACTTTCTCTCCGCTTAAGGTGGCATTTTGCTGAGTTTTATTAAGAGACATATTGCCTTGGAAGCTGGACAATGGCTTATCCATAGTTGGCGTTACGTTTTGGGCAGGTGAATTGGTGATATCTGAGCTGGACAGGCTTTGGTTGCGATCTTTGGGAGAAGAGCTCAGTGATGAAATATTCTTAAGGACATTTTCAATTCTTTGTGTTAAATTGTGATGTTCTACTGAAGATTCAGGAATTTTCTGATCTTTGTCGACTTGAGAGGTATCTTTAAATATTTGATCTTCTCTGAACGTTACATTTTGAGGCTGTAGCTTTAAAGACTTGATGTTCATAATTTTGGACTCATTAAGGTTCTTCTCATTTGTGGTTAAATTGCGATGACTTGGCTTAGAGACGATATGCTTAGCAGACGATTTTGAGTTTGAGTTTGGAAATTGTGCTTTAAGATTCTTTAAGCTTATCGTATTGGAAACGTTTGCTGGACTTTCAGTTTTTATTAAGAGCGTGGAATTAGATGATACAACTTCCTTCTTTATTTTAGCCGGGCTTTCCTTCTTTAAAGTAAAATTATGAGTGGAACCGGGGACGTTTGGCTCGTTTGTAGTTAAATTTTGGTGACTTAAGGTTGAGTTTGTGTGGTTAAGCATAATTATTTCAGGCACTTTCACTTTCTTTAGGGGTACGTTTTGGGTTTGCGGCTGCATGCTTGTAACATTGAATACAGATAAATTATTATTACAAACTAATGAACCGTTTGAACTGTTCAAATGAATATTCTTATGTATTTCAGTCGCATTTTCCTGAAAGTTGTGAGCTTTTTTCGCGTTGCTGAATGCTTTGAGGCTCTTCTGCTGTGTTGAATATTTGGGTGTTATCGTAAGCATCTCCATTTGATCAGCTTTTGTACATATTTTTGTTAGATTTGCCATTTCCAAAGGTGTTACGTAATGGGTTTTTCGTTTACTTGCATTCCACTTGTCATTTTCCATTTGATTAGACTTTTGCTCTTTAGAAAACGGCTTGAAGGATATTAAAATGAAAACGATCCCAGCAATTAGAGCCGCAAAGAACAGACGTCGTCCCCAGATCAGGCAAGGCGTTACCATATTTCTTATACTTATGAACATTACAACTCTGAGCGAAGGTAGAAATGAGACTAAAAATTCGTTTAATTGTGCAACGAATATTAAAATTCAATGTCAAGGCTCATGTCAGCTTATTCAGCTGGAATTTCTTAAGCATATATAGAATTTTGCTGTGTTCTATTTCTAGATGCCAAATACATGTATGTAAAACACAAGAGAAATTTCAGAAAAAAAAATACTAATATTTAATTAAACATTTACCTAAATAAGTTGACCTAGAGTAGCTGGGAAAACTCATCATATATATTTGATAAGCAAACTTTCCTCCCGAGCTTAAACGACTACATAAAAGTACACTACATAATAATAAATAGATAATGGACTCATGATGAGTGTATAATGGGTCTGGTGTATCCAGCCCAGTGCGAATTCCATGTCTCCAACTTTAATAATCCTCATTTGCCACGACCAACGTTGTCGTATCTAGAGATGACTCTTTGGAAAAACAAATACAAATAAGCGAAGAAATCATTGACTCTAAACACAAGCCATCTGTTACAATATAAAACATTATAATATAAAAAAACAAATAAAAATAGACACGCACTCAACGAAGTGCTTCCAAATTCAAGTATTGTTGCTTAGCAAACAACAAACTGGAGACAAAGTTAAGCTTCGATTTATATTTTCTGAATATAAGAAATATGTTTACTTACTGTTCAAGCACTGAGCTATTTCAAATCGAGTAACTTAAAGCTAAATGAAACGTCTTAGATATAATCACCAGCTGCCGCATAGGTCCTGGGACAATGCTTTTCCGCATACTTTTCATACGCACTATTAGAGCCGACTTCGACGCGGCCTACACTGGATGCCTTGTTCCATATGTGTATGAGAAACGAATCTTTAGTTCTTGCCATAGTTTCCTCCAGATATTTAGGCTCAGTGAAATGTGTCCACTCCGGCCAAGGAATTGAATAAAACGCAGTCGAATTGAAAATTCTAAATCCTTTGCAGCTCTCGCGACCGTCCTGCATGGCCTTGATGAGGCTGTTGCCACAAAATTTTTTCAGGACTTCAGTTACAAGGGCCGGTCCATTTTGTACATAAGATTTACCATTAAAGTGTTTTTGATAGCGCTGCAAAAACAGTTCAGCAACCTCATGACCCATTCCATCGGGTGCTAGACTGATGACTGCGTTGCCCAGAGTGGTATTATCATGGGCTCCCACATAGTTCAAAGGCAATTTCTCCAAACTTCGCAGGACGACAACATCCAAGTCTAGATAGATGCCCCCAAACCGATAAAGACTTATGAGACGGAGCAAGTCAGATTTGTGTTGCATCGGATAGCTGAATATTAGAGCAGGTCAGCTAAGCTTCTCCCTTAAGGGAACCAATTGGAACTTACCTAGAGGAAAGCAAATCGCCTTTTCTGACCCATTCCTCAATGGGAGTGCCCTTAGCATAGTTCCTAACACTCAAGTGACGGAAGTTCACATTCTTATAGCTCTCAATGGCATCGACGAGAAGTTTTTGACGGCCGAAAAGTGGACGGTAAGTGGGACAGGAAAACAGAGTGAAGACTTGCAGATTGGGATTGTTCAGAGCAGCAGATTCTATGGCACAGGCTTGACGTGCCGTCAGATTCATGATATGGAAATGTGAATTTGGATAAGTGCAGCTGGTTTCGTGAAAAAAAATGCTGTGTCCTGGCGGAGGTTGTGAATCCGAGTATAAAATATCCTCTATAACACTCCGATTTGAAGCGAATTCTGATTGGAATAACTCTAAATCGTAGGTATTATGGAAAATTGTGAACAGATCCTGCATTGTGGATACCACAACTAGAAATATGAGAATGACAACTAGAGCTGGTATTATGATACGTCGTCCTTTCATTACAAAGCCGCTCGACTGTTTCTTCAGAGCTGCGATCATGCTGTACCGTGCCGACTGTGGTTAAGCGATTTACTGGCTAACCACTAAGTTTACTATGAGCTTTCCCATCTATTCCACAATTACACTGTTCAGTTTATGCAGCTGCTTCAATTTGCATAGCGCGTGCCATATGCTGTATATATGTAGATGCATTTGCGCTCTACTCGGTCGACGTAAGATCGTGTAAGCAAACTCTAAAATGCACTTGTAGTTCAATGTTTTTGTTTTATCTTAAGTTTATTATTATTTTACGACCGCATATTAGGCATGTGGCTTTATAAACGTACAAACTTCTGTGCCGACACTCGTTTACTCATTTCTGAATTATCTACATTTAATGTATACAAATATGTGCCTGTTGTTAACCCATCAAAGAGTATAGTAAAGCTAAATGAAACGTCTTAGATATAATCACCAGCTGCCACATAGGTCCTGGGACAATGCTTTTCCGCATACTTTTCATACGCACTATTAGAGCCTACTTCGACGCGGCCTACACTGGATGCCGTGTTCCATATGTGTACGAGAAACGAATCTTTAGTTCTTGCCATAGTTTCCTCCAGATATTTAGGCTCAGTGAAATGCGTCCAAGGAATTGAATAAAACGCAGTCGAATTAAAAATTCTAAATCCTTTGCAGCTCTTGCGACCGTCTTGCATGGCCTTAACCAGGTTGTTGCCACAGAATTGTGTCAAGACGGTAGTTTCGAGGGTCGGTCCATTTTGTACATAGTTCTCACCATTAAAATATTTTTGGTAGTGCTGCAAAAACAGTTCAGCAACCTCATGACCCATTCCATCGGGTGCTAGACTGATGACTGCGTTGCCCAGAGTGATATTATCATAGGCTCCCACATAGTTCAAAGGCAATTTCTCCAAACTTCGCAGGACGACAACATCCAAGTCTAGATAGATGCCCCCAAACCGATAAAGACTTATGAGACGGAGCAAGTCAGATAAGTGTTGCATCGGAAATCTGAGTACAAAAGCAGGTCAACCAAACTCCTTTCCAAAAGGAAACCAATACCAACTTACCTAGAGGAAAACAAATCGCCTTTTCTGAGCCAATCCTCAATAAGAGTGCCCTTAGCATAGTTCCTAACACTTAAATGGCAAAAGTTCACATTCTTATAGCTCTCAATAGCATCGACGAGAAGTTTTTGACGGCCGAAAAGTGGTCGGAAAGTGGGACAGGAAAACAGAGTGAAGACTTGCAGATTGGGATTGTTCAGAGCAGCAGATTCTATGGCACAGGCTTGACGTGCCGTCAGATTCATAATATTGAAATGTGAATCTGGATGAGTGCAGGTGGTCTCATGAAAGAAAATGCTGCGTCCTGGCGGAGGTTGTGAGCTCGAAAATAGAATATCCTCTATAACATTCTCATTTGAAACAATTTTTGCTTTGAATGTATGTAAGCCGTAGGATCCATTTAAAACAATTGAGAGGTCTTGAATTGTGGACACCACGACTAACAATATTAGAGTTGCAGCCAGAACTGGTACGAGACCTCGTCCCATGATTGAAAAATATTTCGATCCCTTCTGCGACATGATGAACCGATCCGATTGAACTTAAACGACTCACTAACTATAATCAAGATTATCTCTAAGTCTTCTAGTTTCGAATCGTCTCAATTCAGTTTATTCAGCTGCTTCAGCATTTTTGGGCTATTGTATTTATTTAGAGTCTTCCGTTTTCTATTTTGTTGGCACACGACCCAGAAGAAGCTCTAAAATGATGCGCTGCAAAAATGCTAGAACCAGATGTGCAACCCAATTCGTGAAGCTCTGAAAATTCGGCTATGTAAATACATTATTGTAAGAGTTCAGTTGTCAAAATAAGTTATATTAAATAATGGAATTGTTCGCGCCACAATACGATATTAATAAACAGTGGCATCTATTGTGACTGCATTTGGGGAAATTCGAAGCCGTCACAATAGATGACAATTCTCTCGATACGTGAACGATAGCTAACAACTATAAAATGAATATGCCGTACAACTGATGATCAGTGCGTTATCGGCTCCTTTTATTATTATATTTAATAAGTTAATCAAAACAAATGCAAATCATGATTCCCTAAATTAAACAATAGAAAAAAACAATTAGTTAATTAAAGCTTGTATTTTTGATTACGATAAATCACAAACTATTCAATGCTATCGACATTTCGCAAACCATCATTGCCAATCCCCAGAATAACGGCACTTGTCAAAACGGGAGCGCTAAAAAAAATCTGGCACACTTTGACATTCACGTTTTCACGTGGAACACTTAAAGTGTACATTAAATAACCAATAGCATATCGTTTAAACTCGAATATTGCTGGCCAAAATGCGCCGCCGTGACATTTTACGGATGTGGGCGCAGATAGTACAGCACACAGGCAGAGCGACATATACGCCAGAAGAGTGGCAGGAAAGCTACGAAGATTTCTGGAAATGCATGCAATCAGCTACAGATCCGTATATACGCATTGATAATGTAAATGAAAGTACAGTAAACTAATTAAATATAGCAATTCAAATGAATTTATTTTTACCCCATAGATCGATCATCTGATAAATTATACGGCACCAATGGATCGGCAAACCCAATTCACAAAACGGAAATTCGAATGCAGCTCTAATAACTATGACGAATCGGAACCACATGCTGTGCTACGAAAACGTATTAAATTAGCGACAAATGATATATTATTGCTGCATAAAACAAATGAATTAAAGTCGGAAAATGAAAAGAATCGTAAGGGAAACATAATTACGAAAGATGAAATTGACGTTCATACTCCGAATGCAAATACAATTATTATGGAGCAGTCAATGACTAGCCCCAATTTGAAAAGCTCAAAATTGACAGATAAGAAAACGAAGAATAGGGTATCGGCATATGATAAGGATAATTTGCCAAAGGATAAAGCAATAGATAGTGCAAAATATTCAATCAAAAGATTAGTCAAAAACAAACGCACTTCAAGTGCCGGGGATGTTTCACAAGAAAACCGGAATCTGCCAAAAGAAAAGCAAACTGTTATGCAGAAAAATCTTCAAATTAAAAATCATAAGGCTGGGCATGATCAACTTGATTCCGAGCTACAGATTAACCAATTAGAAACTCAAGAGGAATCTCAACTGGAGCAGCAATGTGACGTGGAAAAAGAAGCTGATAAACATAAGGTTCAAAAGAAAAATCAAGTAAAGAAAACTAAAAAAAAGGCGCAGAAAGAACAAGATGAATTGACGATTGAGATGGAGCAAGATAATAAAAAGCAGATGGCTCAACAGAAACTTCTGGATAAGCTGGAGGAAGAAATTTGGATACAGAAAGCTGAACAAGGAAAGCTAAAAAAAGAAAAAGCCAAGCAGAATAATAGAAAACAAAAAGTAATAGAAGAATGCAAAGAAACAGAGCAGCAAGAGATTGTAAAGCACAAGCTGCAACAGCGAGAACAGGAAGAGGATATTTTATTTTTAAAGACTGTAAAACAAAAAGCAAAGCAGCAGCAGCTTAACGAGCGAGGGCCACAACCAAATACCAAGGTACGTAATTCAAAATGCAAATATTAGTTAAATATGCCAAGATAATTTCCCTTTTAGAAAACTAGAAGTCAGCTGAAAAAATTATTGGAGGAGCCGGAGCCCTCAGTGCCAAGATGTTCAAATAAAGCAGCCACACAAGTGGATAGTATAGATTCAAGCTGCGTGACAGAGCCAATATTGGAGAAACAGCTAGTAAAAGAAACGCAACATAAAATACGCACACGTTCCCAATGTGCAGATAAAGAACCACAAAGCGAAAATCAAGAACAGCATCAATTGAATACGAAAATAAGACACACCAGACCCTCCCGCCAATCAAAAGCTGTAATCTTTATTTGCGTTACTCTCGAATTCTTGCCACCTAATCAATGTTTTTTTTGTTACCACAGATGGCGCACATGCCACAAAAAGCAATCGATATGCCACGGACCAGTTTACCGGATTGTGCTGGGGTTCCTGATGCTGTGACCAACAAAGATTTGCAATCAATTGAGCCTGAAAATCTCTCCATAACTAAACTTAAGCTAAGCGAGGACATAGAAACTCCGAAAATTGACCATTCCTTAAGGGCAGAACCTTTTGAATTCGACAAACCATATGTCACATATTCCAAAGCTAATTGTGAACTGGAAGATAAGTTCATCAATGAGGTCATGCAGCTAGCTGCACCGATCGGTGAAAGTACGGAACTAAGTCAGTTATTGGTCGACGATAGCAAAGGTGAAGCGTTGTCATCGGGTGTTGAGGAAATTGATCGTTGTTTGCAAATCTTCAATAATAAGACGCCTAGTGAGATTGATCATCAGATAGCTGACACATCAGATTTCTTTGATAATTTGCCCAATGTATCAACTCTAGTTGATAAAACGCCCTTGGAGATGGAGGCGTTGATGAATAATGTGCTCAATTATGATGATGATGATGATGGTGATATTATATCAGTGGCCACATCCTGGGATGGCGATGAGCAATTTCAAACAGAAAATACTTTGGTGGAGGAAACAAAATCGTTGGATCAGCCAGTGCAGATCAGGCAGTCAGATGCCGAATTAGAATCTACGATACGGCCAAGTGAATTGCTGCCCTATCGCATACCCAAAATGCCAATTAGTCCGGCAGACAAGCAGCAGATACAGCAAGAAACACAAATTCAGGCTGAGGCACCTGCAAATCTGCGATCGCCGCAAACTGTTAAAAACCACCAGCAGCCAAAGCCGCAACAACTGCAGCAGACCCCTGCACAGCATCTTAACCATGCAGCGCCCCAACAACATCAGCAGACCGCGGTAGAGCATGTGAAGCCCCAACAAGTGCAGCAAACCCCAGTACAGCTTCTAAAGCATTCAGCGCCAGAACTGCAGCCGATCCCGGCACAGCATCTTAAGAATCCAGTGCCACAACATCATTTGGGCCAGCCACCGCTACACCAACTGTCACAGCCGCCTCGACCGCAATTACAACGTCCGCCGCTGCAACAACGGCAACAACCGCCTCGACAGCATATACAGCCGTTGCCACTACAACACCCAGTCTTGCGTCCTGCACCGCTAGCCAAAACACTGCCCATTTTTGCGCCACCCTTTCGCCTGGCTGAGAAGCCGGCTAGCAGCGCACAATCCGTCACTCCAAACATCTATACAAACGAGTGCAAATATTTTATATTTGGCATTAAATGCTGGCGCTATTTGGATGGCCGGTGCCAGGACAGCAATTGCAATCATAGGCTAGCGAATCCGTGGGAAGTGCAGCGGCATCTGAACCAGATGAAGACGGATAAATTATGTGACACCTACAGTATGGTATTGCGTCATGGCATGCTATTCCGCAACTATTTTATGATTTTCGCTGAAATCTTTGGCAATCGGGGTATGATGTCGCATTTAATGAAAATGGTTGAAGATTGTGGCTTATATATGGAGTACAGTGCGCCCTTTATCACGGAAATCTACTATCTATTGTTGCGTTACGAGCTGATGCCAAAAATGGCAGCGGCACATTTTATGAAGCATCTATGGCGACCAAATATTGGTCAAGCCTATCCCGACTTGACCATACAATTGCTCCGAATTCTTTCGGCGGCTGATTGGTTTAACTATATACCATGTCTGAAGCATCTCTTCTACAATCAGGGCTTTCCCATACCCGTTGAATTCATGACCTGCTTGGCTAACGATGCAGTTGCCAAGAATGATCAGGTGCTCGTTACAAAAGTCTGGGAACTGGTGCTGTTCAGTCCCATCGACCGAAATGATGACACTTTGAGTTCAGTTATTAAAATACTAAAGAATTGGTGTGGCTCAGCAGTAGATGCCCCGACTGCGGAGCAGCAGCAAAAGCCGCAACTGCAAGAGCAACTTCAACAGCATCCACACCAGAGACTGGGTCAGCACCTGCAACCACAGCGACAATTGCAACATTTAGCAGAGCTGAAGCAGCAACATTTGCCGCAACGTTACGTCAACTTGCCCCAAGCAAACAAAGTAAACTATAATTCGACAAATCAGAGTAGGCATATGTTTGATTTTTAAGAGAACGGGTAAATGTTTAACAATCATATAACTATCAGATTTTATAACAACCCTCCGATTCCCTATTTCTTTTTAGGCCTCCAGGATTTGGATAACGATTAATTTGCTGTTGAGCAGCGCAAAGTTAACGAAGTTTAATTTTTTTTTAATCTTACACAATCGAAATGTGTATATTATTTTTTATTATTGTTAAATTAGATTTATAAACGAACTTAAATACTTAAAATCTAGTTTCTCTTTTTGCCCCGGTTCCAGTTTTTTTTAGCCCCACCGCCGCGGGCACCACCCGCTCCTCCCTTGCCCTTACCCATTGGTTTCATGCGTTTCCGCGCGCCAGTAAACTGCTCGGAGTCATCAATATCGCCAGGAGCAGTGCGCTTATTGCCTTTGCCGCCCTTATAGCCCTTACTGTCCTCTAGATCTTTGAGTTCCAGTTTGGCTGTACGTTGCGCTTCGGCTACGCGTTCTTGCAGCGCCATTACCTCATCCTCTTCGCATTTGTAGAGTGGCAGCTGCTTGCCCAACAACTGCTCGATACGCTGATACAACTCAATGTCGTACTGAGTGACTATAGTAATGGCTTGCCCAGATCGACCGGCACGGGCTGTGCGGCCTACACGATGTATATAGTCCTTGCTGTGCGTGGGTATGTCAAAATTGACCACCACATCGACGTGAGGAATGTCCAAACCACGCGAAGCGACGTCTGTTGATATCAATATGGACCGATTTTTCGCCTTGAATTTGTTCAAGGCAGCCAAACGTTTATTCTGAGACATCTGGCCATGTAACGGTATAGCTGCCAAGCCTAGGGCACGCAGCATTAACGCCGTCTTTACTGTATTGTTGCAAGTGCTACAGAAGATCATGAAGCTGTTGCCAGCCAATTCGTTAAGAATGTGTACGAGATACACGTCCTTGTATTTAACAGGGATGAAGATGTAATACTGTTGCAGCTGATCCACAGTTTGATACTTGTTGGAAACTTCCACCTTGACGGGATCTTTGAGTGATGCACGCTGCAGCTTCTTAACCTTCTTTGTCATCGTGGCGCTGAACAGAAATGTGCGACGCTCACGTGGTAAGACCTTTAGAATCTTGTCCAGTTCTACCTCGAAATCCATATTGAGTATGCGATCTGCTTCGTCCATGACCAGGTACTTAATAGCCTTTAAATTAAAGCCCTTCAAGTTCTCCAGATGATCCACCAGACGACCGGGTGTAGCAATTATTATGTGCGGTTTCTTTGCTAGCTGCAAGCCCTGTGCTACCATGTCCATGCCACCGACCACCACACAACATTTGATGCCGATGCCACTGCCTGCACGGAGAGAAAATAAACCTTTTATAATAGTGCTTATAGTGGGATAGCATATCTTAGAGATGCTACGTTTACTCAGAGGTAGTGACGAATAAAGAAATAATAATTTCATATTTTCGTTTAAGAACATAAAATCAAAAAGGGTTTTCACATCATTGTGGACATATTGTATATATATAACACGCATATATAAATAACTGAACTCACCCAGTGCCTCGAACTGTTCGCCTATTTGAAAAGCCAATTCACGCGTGGGGGTTAACACCAGGGCAAAATAACGCTGTGGATTCTCAAGCAGAGCATGTAAAATGGGCAGTGCAAATGCCCCCGTTTTGCCAGAGCCGGTTTCGGCCAGCCCAATGACATCTTTGCCTTGCAGTGCAACAGGTATTGCCTCCTTTTGAATTTTCGAGGGCGCTTTCCATTTCAGCTCATCGCACGCTTTGCACAACGTTTCGTTAAGCCCCTACAGATTACAATAATCATTGAACACTGTTCGATTTACTATCTTATTTTAAGAAATTTACAAGATCTTTCCAGGTCAGCGGTTGTTCGTCTTTGGGAGCCTCTTTTTCCTCGTCAGATTCATCAGGGTCACTTGTGTCTTGATCTTCAGCATTGTCAGCGTCAGTTTCTGCGTCCTCTTCAATTTCTTCCTCACCGCTTATCTCTTCTTCGCTCGCTAACTGCGCTTGCTCATCTTCTGAAGTTTCCGACATATTGTTACATATTTTTATACACCCTTGCTCTAGCGGATATTACCAGTCGCCACACGTGCTCGTTAAGAAAAGAACGCTGCGGGTTAAAATGTGGAAGGTATAAGTTATCGACAATCTATCGAATATTATTTTAGTAGCTACAGCTCTTAATGAAAATGTAGCGATATCTGTAATATGCCAGGGTCACATTTTCGCTTTAACTTATTTCCAACTCAACAAAAATACAAATACTCAAAAGTCTTTATCAATAATAATCCAGTTTTAATGAATAAACAGCTAACGTTTTACATCTTCATATTTATATATATATATATATATATATATAAGTTACATATTGGTTGCGGTTTTCAGCAGCCCTGAACTAGTAAATGAACAAACAATATTAAAGTTAATTTTTTCGGTTCGTTCACCTGAGGGATAGTTCGTTTTGCTTAGTTCGTGAACATTTAATTTGCACGACAAAACGAAGTTAAAAAATAACAGAAACTTAACAAAAATTTAGTGTTCAAATGAAAAGTAAGCACTTAATTGAGCACAAAACAAGAGACACAACTTCAATTATTAGAATGAAATAGAAATCAATACTAGCACTCTATGGAGGTGGATTTTTCGAGCAACCAAAACGCCCACCAAATAACCGAGTGATAATTCCGATACAACTGAAACATTTACATACTCTAAGCTGAGGTGTTAGTTTCTTATCCGTTGTAGTTGTTGCTGTTAGATAAGATGATGATTATGTGCTTCTAACAATTTGCAATTGCATTCTAGGTAAACCATAAAAATCCATTGTGAAAAATTGTGGGGTGGTGGGAGCAAAACGGATACTCAATAGTAAAAGAGCGTAAGCCAGCGCAAGCGAGAGTGTGTGAGTGCACAGTGGAGAGGAGCATGACATGTATTTGATGTGTACTCAGCGGCCGAAGAGAGCGCATTAAACAAGAACAAAACACACGCACACAACTGCGAGAAAGCTTCTTCTTGTTGTTGTTGTCGGTGTGGGGGAGTCAAAGTCGGTTACGAAAAATACACGGCGTAAAGCGTGTGTGGATAAAGCATAAAGCACACATACACACACATAAATATATATACAGAAAGCAGAATATTTTGCGAAGTTCGCACTCCAAGTAGAGAAACACAGAAAACAGGGCAACAAAATGAATCCAGCGGTGGATGCGTGGGTTGTTACCCAGCGGGAGAAGCTGAAGTACCAGGAGCAGTTCAGGGCACTGCAACCTCAGGGCGGATTTGTAACCGGAGCCCAGGCAAAAGGATTTTTTTTGCAGTCGCAGTTACCGCCACTGATCTTGGGTCAAATTTGGTGAGTACCGGAACTGACTCATTTGTTATTAATATACACATACATGCACACTTACATACACAGTTATCCACAGTGCAATGCTGGCAAAGATAAGAAGAAAATAACAAATATTTTGCTGATGCTTTGTTTTGTTCTTTGCTTTTTCTCTTGTTGATATGAACTAGAGATGTGCTATTGAATAGTTGCTATTTAATTTTTAAAGACGAGTCACGAAAAACACAAAAGTTTCAATAGATTCTTATTGTGAAAATATTTTTTCATTTTAAGAAACCCCTATTAAATATTATTAGGTACTAAAGATTTTGTAGTGTAGAAATCGTTCTTATTGTTTTTTTTTTTAAGACAACTCATAACTCTTAAATATAGAATGTCTAAACAAAATCCTCCCATTCATATACTCACCTCTAATATGTTGTTTTGTTTATTACATATACAGGGCATTGGCTGACACGGATTCTGATGGAAAAATGAATATTAATGAGTTTAGCATAGCTTGCAAGCTTATCAATCTGAAGCTGCGCGGCTTGGAAGTGCCTAAAACTTTGCCGCCCACATTGCTCAGCTCTCTAACGGACGCTGTTGGCGGTCCGTCGCCTGCAATGACGCCACGTGGTTCAACCAGCTCTATGAGTCCCGTAGATCCACTGAAGAGCATTGCAACTGTACCACCAGTCTTGCCCGTTGCTGTTGTTGCACCTCCAATTGTGGCGCCACCTGTAGCGATTCCACCACCAGTTGCGGTTCCGGTAACTGTTGTTCCCGCAGCGATTGTCTCGCCTCCGCAAAGCAATCCGCCTAGTCGTCATATGTCCATTTCGGAGCGTGCTCCTTCCATTGAATCACCGTGAGTGTTCCACAACATTTGAAGAAAAGTGTCAATCTTTTAATATAGTATTTCCTCCATCTACAGTCAAGCGGAGTGGGCCGTGCAGGCGGCACAGAAACGAAAATACACGCAGGTGTTCAATGCCAATGATCGCACTCGTTCTGGCTTTTTGACGGGAGCCCAGGCTCGTGGTGTACTTGTGCAGAGTAAATTGCCGCAGGTAACGCTGGCGCAGATTTGGACACTTGCTGATGTAGATGGTGACGGCCGACTCAGCTGCGACGAGTTCATTTTGGCCATGTTTCTGTGCGAAAAGGCCATGGCTGGCGAGAAGATACCAGTAAGCTTGCCTCTCGATTGGGTGCCGCCAAGCTTGCGCAAGATTAAGTCACGACCGGGTTCCGTGTCGAGTGCAGTATCTCGTCCCGGCTCGCAGCCTGCCTCGCGACACACGTCGGTTTCCTCACAAGGAGCGGTCATGTCGGACGCAGACCCAACTGCTGGCTTGCCGCAAAGTAAGTAGAATATTAGATGTTCTTTACGATAATAATTCGATCATTATGTTTAGCTTCGTTCGAGGACAAGCGCAAAGAGAACTATGAGAAGGGCAAGGTTGAGCTGGATCGTAGGCGTAAGCTAATGGAGGATCAGCAGCGCAAGGAGCGTGAAGAGCGCGAGCGCAAGGAACGAGAAGAAGCAGACAAACGGGAAAAGGCGCGTCTCGAAGCCGAACGAAAACAACAGGAAGAACTGGAGCGTCAACTTCAGCGCCAGCGTGAAATCGAGCAAGAGAAGGAGGAGCAACGCAAACGTGAGCTGGAAGCCAAGGAGGCGGCCAGAAAGTCAGTTGACAAGCTAAATTCCATGTAAATGTTATTAAATAGTCACCCATTCTACTTGGTAGGGAGCTGGAAAAGCAACGTCAACAGGAATGGGAACATTCACGCATTGCCGAAATGAATGCACAAAAGCAGAGAGAGCAGGAGCGCGTACTCAAGCAGAAGGCACACAACACTCAGTTGAACGTGGAGCTCAGCACACTAAATGAAAAGGTCGGCACTTATAGAATACACTTATATTCAAGCATATATTAATTCACCTCGCTTGCAGATCAAGGATCTATCGCAAAAGATATGCGATACGCGCGCTGGAGTGACCAATGTTAAGTCGGTGATTGATGGCATGCGTACGCAGCGCGACACTTCTATGAGTGAAATGGCGCAGCTGAAGGTGCGCATTAAGGAGCAAAACGCTAAGCTGCTGCAGCTAACGCAAGAGCGCGCCAAATGGGATGCCAAGAGCAAAGTGAGTGCTGGCGTAACCGGCGAAACCGCACAACAAGAGCAGCTAAACGCAGCGTTTGCACACAAGCAGGTGGGAAATTTGGATAATATTTTAAATAGAAGATGCGAAAAATTTAACCCTTTTATTCATTACAGCTGTTGATTAAGCAGATCAAGGATAAGGTGGAAAACATTGAGAAAGAAATCGAATCCAAGAAAGAAGATCTCAATTCAAACGATATTAGTATGAAGGAGCTGAAAGCCGAACTCTCTGCATTGATTACCAAATGCGAGGATCTGTACAAGGAATACGATGTGGAGCGCACCTCGGTGCTGGAATTGAAATACAATCGCAAGAATGAGGCAGCCACTATCAGTGCCACATCCGCTTGGGATACAGGTAGTGCTTGGGGCAGCACTGCCGCCAGCGTGCCAGCAGCTGTCGATGCCTATGGTGGCTATGGCTTAAGCAATGACACAGCCGCTGCTGAAACGGCAGCCGCTGTTGATCTGAGCGGGCCAGCACCCGAAGGTTTCGTCAAATATCGCGCCGTTTATGAGTTTAATGCTCGCAACGCAGAGGAGATTACGTTTGTGCCAGGCGACATAATCTTAGTGCCTCTGGAGCAAAACGCTGAGCCCGGCTGGTTGGCTGGTGAAATTAATGGCCATACTGGCTGGTTTCCCGAGTCCTACGTTGAGAAGCTGGAGGACGGGTCAACGGTATTGGCAACCGATCAGGCAGTGGCAGTGCCAAATGTTGCTGATCCTGCGACCCATACCGATAGCTACTTGGACAATAATGCCTTGGCGGCACAGTCAGAGCTGGCAGCAACTGATGCTGCTGCTACTGCCACTGATGCTGCTTTAGGCGATGTCGAATACTATATAGCCGCATATCCTTATGAATCCGCCGAGGATGGTGACCTGAGCTTTGGCGCTGGAGAAATGGTCATGGTCATCAAGAAGGAGGGCGAATGGTGGACGGGCACTATTGGCAATCGGACCGGCATGTTCCCATCGAACTATGTACAAAAGGCCGATGTTGGTACAGCCACAGCCAATTCCGTTGAGGCTGCAGTTGAACCTGAACCCGTCGAACAGGTAAGTCCATATCATAATCATATAAATCACGAAAAAAGCTACCTAATGGTTGCTATGCAGAGAAATATAATTCATACTGCAATTGTATAAAATAACGCACAGTTCGTGTTTAACCATCATGTGCTCATCTACTAATCCAATGCTTTTCATTTGCTAAACCCCAATATCATCAATACACATCACGCTGCTCGCTCGTCCAGGAGGTCACACACAATGGCATTAATGCTACATATGCTGCTCAGCCAGAAGCTGTAGACCCAAAGCAGTCACAGCCTCAGCCGGTTGAGCTGGAGGAGTCGCACACAAACGAAGATCTCGACACTGAAGTATCGCAGATAAACACACAATCCAAATCACAGAGCGAACCGGCCGAAAGCTACAGTCGGCCCATGTCACGTACTTCTTCCATGACACCCGTAAATAGTTGACCTACATGCGCCCACTTTTCAAACTCCATAAATTTTAATTAATACGTATTTCGTTAATTACTTTGCAGGGCATGCGCGCCAAACGTTCGGAGATAGCACAAGTCATAGCACCATACGAGGCCACGAGCACAGAGCAGCTGTCGCTTACACGTGGCCAGCTGATCATGATACGCAAGAAGACCGACTCCGGCTGGTGGGAGGGTGAGCTGCAGGCCAAGGGCAGGAGGCGTCAAATCGGTTGGTTCCCGGCCACCTATGTCAAGGTGTTGCAGGGTGGACGCAACAGTGGACGTAATACGCCCGTCTCCGGCAGTCGCATTGAAATGACCGAACAGATTTTGGGTTGGCTATAAAATCCATTCGAAAACTGAACATATTTTTAATTATTCTTTTGTTTTTATGCAGACAAAGTGATTGCTCTATATCCCTATAAAGCACAAAACGATGACGAGCTCTCTTTTGATAAGGACGACATCATCAGTGTACTGGGCCGCGATGAGCCGGAATGGTGGCGTGGTGAGCTGAATGGCCTGTCTGGTCTGTTTCCAAGCAACTATGTGGGACCATTTGTTACGTCCGGTAAGCCAGCGAAAGTGAATGGCACTAAAGCCAAGTGAATCTCCACGACAAACGCCAACCACAACCATGACGATGCTTTACAAGTAGTCACACTCTATGCATATACGTGCTCTCTTCTCTCAAATACACACATTCCTGTTTATTTTGTGTTTTTAAAGCTATAAATTCTATTTTAATTTCTGCCTCGATACCATATAAGTAAAGCCAATTTGTTCTCGCCACGCCTAACGTCTCGGAAGCTAGTTACCTTATGATTTTTAGTTATAATTTGTTGCAATATCTACGCTCATGTATGATTTATCCATATGTATATTGTTAATTGTTATTATTTAGTTGTTTAGCAATTATTTAATTTTAAGTTAAATGCCCAATCCAAACGCGTTTGTATCCTTGTTAGCCAATCTTTAGCTTTAATTGATATTAATTCGCATTTATATGCAAGCACACACATACATTCATATACTATACGTACATTTTGTGTATTTAGTCCATTGATTTTGTATTTATTTTGTATAATTTTTTGTACTTTTAATTGCTATTATTTATACATCGATACAAATATGTTTATTCTGTATATAAAATGAAAATCGAAAATCGAAAATCTAATTGAATGTTTGAATCTTTAAACTTTTTGCTGCTACGCGCACAGGAAACGTATAACGAGTCATCGGGTTTGGTCTTTAAGCGGCGTTAGGAGAGCGCCACATACAACAACTACAATAATAAAACCAGGTCTAAAAGGACCCATATATTAAGTTCATCAAAAAATTAACCAATATGTAGTCAAAATTTAGCGAGAAATTTTGTTAATTACTTCATTTTGTTTACACTTTTTAAATACGTCTTATATTATCAAATACCATCCTAATCGTACCAAGAAATCTATGAGTATTCGAAGATATTGAAATTGCTTACAAGTTAAGGCTCGCTCTACCTATGTAACGTTCAGGCAGTTATCATCTTCAGCTTTATAGTTTTAAATATTTAAAAGATTTGATTTGTATCTATATTGTTTTGAAAATGTTCCAAAGATCTACTTTGTCGTAAAATCAAATGTGCAAGTTAAAAGAAATCTCATAAATGTAATCAATCAAATTACCATAAAAATACAAATCGCAATCGAAATCAAGTTACATACAAACATATTTAATAGTATATATATATATATACTTACATATACTATGCATATAGAATGAGGTAAAAAACATAAGTATATCAAAGAAAATATTACAATTTTGTTGTATTAGATGTGTTTCACTCAATGCATACATACTATAAACATCTCAAGTGTTTTTTCCCCCAAGTAAAATCGAAAAACAAAAGATATATATATATAACTACCTATGAAAATACACACATATATAAAGATGGTTTTCTGTGTTTTCCAATAATATGCGCATGTATTTGTATATAACATATATTTAATATTAATTGTTAACTAAATACTAAGCATAAAGACCACTCACAATTATATATACAGATATACAAATTGGTATGGAGGAGACGGCTTAAAAGCACACATACAACAACAGTATTGGTAATACGTATAACATCTTCAATTGCTTAACTATATATATATTTGAGTTTTTTGTTTATAGACCTGAGTTAAATGTTTAATACTTTAAGCGCTTACTTCAACTGCCATTTTTAAATTAGTTTTGCAAGCAGCATTTAAAGCGGGATTAAAAGTTGATTAGAATATTGTAAAAAAAAAAAACAAAACAAAACATAAAAACAAAGAGAATTATTGTATAAAACTTGCGTGTAGAGTGTTATGCGATTTCAATAGCGATTAGCTATATATAAACATGCTATACTCTAGTACAATATATATACACACACATATATATATATATATATATATAGCTATATTATGATATGTTCTGTTATGCTGTGCATCAGTTCTATGCTAGTTATGGTTAAATATATGAATATACTTAAATATTATATTAATGCTATATCTACAATGAAACCACTCACACTCTCGATTGCCTTTCAAAACGATATCCAGTACATAACTTGATGAAAACTCATTCGTAACTTGTTATTGCATAAAATCAACTATACATAATGTGTATCTATATAGGACCTATAACTATTTAACTACAAAAAAAAAGAAATCCAAATCAATTAAGAAAAACAAGAAAATCTTTGCCTAAAACTTGCCTCATTAAAATATTTTCTTTTTGTTTTTGGTTTTGGCAAGTTTTCAGCTAACACTTTAAGAACATATTTACATATGTATGTAGCTAATGTTGGATTGATTATGAATTCTTGAAAACAAAAACAAAATATGATATATATATTGAGTAAATACCGCAAATTTCTTTAGCAAAATGTTAAATAGCAACAAAAAACAAAAAAAAAAAATGAAAACTATTTATGTTTACCTTAAGTATGGAATGCACACTTCTTATAGAGCCAAAATATACACACAACAAACACACACACACTTGCATACATATAATGCTCATATACGCGTATTTGTTTTTAGTCGTTAAAGCGTTCATGAATTTAACTAAGCAGTAAATGAAATATTAAACCAAAAGAAAAAAATAAAAATATATATATAAATAAATAGCAAAAATTTATATATGTACGCATTAGCTAGCACACACACTCACTTACACACATACAGTTACACTTTAAAAGCGAAATGATGACCATCGATATACATATTTACCTACATACTAACGTACACACATACTTACATATGCATACAAAGATATATATATATATATATATATATATATATATATATATATATGAACATGCACATGGAACTTGAACTTCTTATATAGAAGTCCTGTTTATCGGTTAGATCTACAGTCAAACAAACATAAATACATACTAAACACAAACAAAAATATACATACATATATATATATATATATATAAATATATATATATATAAATATATATATATACATACATATAGAAAGAGTTCTTCAAGAAATGCAAATATTAAAATGAGAAAATACGATTAAACATATTAAAATATATCAGTTTCAAAAAGAAATAAGATTATGAAATTAAAAACAAAACAAACAAAAAAAAAAACAAAAAACAAAAGATTTAACACATATTTGGTGAAATAAATGTATAAACGAAATTTCAAACAAAAAGCAAACACTTTGATATTTGTACAATTATTTGGTGACAGTTGATTCCAGAGATTTATTTGATTTGATTTCGATTTTGATATGTAAATATCAAATATTTTGAAACCAATTAATTCTCCGATAAACCTCGTTTATTAATACAGTTTGTTGTTTTTTAAATGCAATTCATTGTATCTTTTGGTTTTCAATTCTCTAGATATTCGTCTTATGTACTTACACAGTGTTCAAAACTGAAAATAAAAGCGCGCCAACTGCAGCTGACACCGCAGCCTCAACTATAACCGCAACCGCAACCGCAGAACAAATTGCGAAACGTCCTCAGCAGCGATTCTGGCAACACTGGCGCTATCCGACGCAGCCTCACCGCAGAGTTGCCGTACCTGACGAACGGTTGCGCGGCAAAATTCAATCGGTTCACATAACGAAACGTAGCGATGGCCAGTTGATGGGCTGTGCTTACGTCACATTTGAATGCAACGAGACGACGGCGCGGGCAATGCTGGAAGACGAAGACAATCGTCTGGTGGGCCGTGAGGTCATAATAAACTGGCAGCTGCCCAAGAAGCCCAGCAGCCCCCAGTGGCGCTGCTGGTGCTGATCTATATATTTAAATATGTATATATATGTAATACATATTTCTATGTATGTACATATTTATATTTTTGAACTTGAAATGATTTGTAATTTTCAAATTTTTGATTTTTCATTTGATTTTATTTTTAGTAAAATTCTCTTATACAATATTTAAAATCAGTTTAACAGTTTACAAGTTTTTTTTTATTATTTTTGTTGCATTAATTTCCTTTTTTGGTTTGTGTTTTGCTAAATAATTAGGTGAGTTTTATTTGACTTTTATTTTTACTATATTTTTTCATGTTTTAATTTGCACAACTTAAGGCCTACAGTATGAAAATTTGCAAACTATTTTCAATGCTCATGCAATTTAAATTTATTTGGTTTAGTTTATGCTCTTAAGGAATTTATTTGATGAGCTGTCGTTAGATATATATAAAGTTTCCATTTCAATTACATATTCTGTATATTTATATATAGAAAACGCGCTCATAAATAACACAGCTCTGATTTTATTTCATTTAAGTATTTTATTTAATAATGTTTCATTATTTGTTTTCCTTTAAGTGAAATGACAATTAACAAGAAACGCGCACATTTCTCGTTGCTGTTTATTGTCTTTCGTTTAAATAATAGAATATATATTTTAGTTAACTAAAGAAAGTTTTCGTTTTAAATATCCAATCTTAACGGAAATTTTGATAAATTGTTTTTGTTTGTTTGTTTTTTATTCAGCTCAAATGTGCATACTTAGAAGGCAATTTCTTGGATATACTTAGACAGAGAATCACTTGGGACGAAACTAGTAAACAATTGTCGGCTAAGCGCGTTGCAAGTGAAGTTTTGAGTTTTGAAATCAGCAAATTGATGGTAGAAATGGATTCTGTTCTGGTAGTGCGATAACACTGCATTCTCCATATCTTTTATGGGGCTTTTACTTCGTTCTAGTCATACATACAGTCAAAATTCACGCATTCTTCTTATACGATAAGATTTACTCTTGGAGTCCGTCGTGCGACCCTCTCGTGCTAAACTTTCACATTATTCAATTTGTGGCTCGTAAATGTTTACAAAAATAATTTATAAATTACACAACTCTTGCTAAATAGCTATGAACTAGTTAGTTAGTATGTGTGTAATATACTTATTTAGTTTCACTTATTAATACATTTTTAATTATTTGCAACGTGACTTTCCATGGCAAAAACTTTCTTCTTTTTGACTTCCACTTTTCGACTTTTTACACGCTGATTATTGGTAAGTTTAATTAGTAATTAGTTAGTTTACACACTATAGAAAGTATGACTAAAATTGAACTAAACGCTGTAGCTGTACTGGTTAGCAACACAGTTCAAATTACGCTCATTTATGTATATATATATTATATATTTAGGATAAATTTATCTAAACTAAAAGCAAAAAACACGACTTAATCTGAACTTTGGCTAAACTGTTAATGATAACACAATTGTTTCTGGAACACATTTGCATTAGGCTCGCTTAAATACCATGAAATACAATAGAATACGAATATATCTAAATAGATAAGTTTTCAAAATTCAAGAATCCAATTTTTAAAAGAAGCAATCAAATTTGTGTGCTAGACTAAGTACTTAATGTGCCCTTGCAGTGGGCCTTTCAGATCTGTCACTAAACTTGCAAAGTATATGATTTGATCTCCTTATATTCTTGACGTCCATACTATATTTAAGAGCAACTCACAAGTTGTCGTTATTTTTGAAATTGTA